TGAATTGAATCCGGCCTCTCTATATCTTCTTCTAAGAGCCGTCCTAGTAGATGGTGGTACCATCTATTAGCTGGTACCCCAACTGCTTAGTAGGTTTCATCAGTGGTGCTGTTTTAGTGATCTCCTGTTGCTTAAGTGCTCCTTTTATTCATGTTACTGACAACATTTCAATATGATATAACCATTATCTTTAACGGTATACTAGCCATGGAATTTTTTACTGCTGCATTGAATGATTACATCTTTTATGATTTAGAGTAGTTTGTAAAAGGAGCAACATCAGCACTTTCATTTGATGTGTATATTGTGGTGATTTTTAGAACTTCTCATGACCAGTAATTAGTATGGTCATACCATAGTAGATGGAACGAGAGTAAAATCTAAAGTTTCAAATGCCAAACTTCAAACTGTGTCATGCACTCATGGTGCATGTGGTACATAAGTTAAGCACAATGAAGGACACATTTATTCTTGGTTGCCATACCATGCAACTTTAATTCTTTCTACTAATACGTGAAGTGCAAGTCCACTCACTTTTTGAAATATTAGAACCAGAATTGCTTCTACTGAAGTATAGTTATGTATTATTTGGCTAACATAACACTGTCCATCAATGGTCAGAGTTGCACCTGATGCTGTGAAAAATTCACAATGCCATGCAACATGAAAAATGGGAAGTATGTTCTTGTGCACTGCCGGTTAGGCTTAATGCAGCATCAGATAAACTGATGACAGCAAACTGCCAAAGAATGCATGCCTCTTGCCATTGTCTTTTTTGAGTTCTTTGCACGTAAGGAATATCTATAGGGTTTATGATATTGCATCCAGCTAATGACAAATGGCTCAACATGCTTATTTCAGATCAGAGAGTGCTGTAAGTAGTGAAGATGTTAGCCGGTTTGATTCTTCTGTGGCTGAAAGTGTTGGAGTACTAGGTAGTGACGAACCTCAACAAGGGGCTGAGGTCAGGGCCCTCACTGGTACTGAGAATACGACCCAAATTATGCTTGAGGATGTGGGTTTACAGGAGGCAGATGCAGAAAATGCTGCCATAGAGTCACCAAGTGTAGCTTTGGATAACATGGTTGAGATGCATGAAACTCAAGTTGACAATAGGCTGCAAGATGAGGCAGGACGGGATGCAAGATTTTGGCAGCCATCTCTGGACGACTCACTTGATAGGTGGCCCAATGAAACTGCAGAGGATGCTGAAAGAAATTGGGAAGATAATGCAGAGGAACTACACAGTGAAACTATGGAGGATGATGCCAGGGAGCATGATCATCTTCAAGATGAGCATGATGAATGGCATGATGACGAGTCTCATGGTACTGAGAACTGGCAAGATGATTTCCAAGATTCTCCACTTGACATGGGCCCCATTCCTAGAACTGAAAATAGATTCATCCCGCCAGATGATGACAATGTGTACAGCATGGAACTGAGAGAATTGCTTAGCAGGTATATTGACCTTCAGTACTAGAATTTCTTCCAAACATATTCTTTTATTGATATTAAATCTGTTCTTATTCTGATCAATGACCACGTTTGTACTTTCAGGCGAAGTGTATCCAATCTTCTTAGTAATGGTTTTGGTGAAAGTTTGGAGCGATTAATAAGGTCATATGTTCAAAGACGTGGTCGTGGACCCCTCAATTGGAATCTCGATGCAGCTATTCCATCTGTGAATTCACCAAACGAAAATCAGGAACAAGAGAGGAATGCTGAAACTCGGCAATTCCAAGCTCCTGTTAACAGACCTGCGCTTGTTATCCCTCCCCCACCTTTGCCACCCCGACAGCCACTATGGCACAGAGAATTGCGTCATAACAACTGGAGCACTAGACACAGGGTACATCACAGAGATCCCGTGCATTATCTCTTCATTAAATTTTTGGAGCTATTGCATAATAGTTGTTTCTTTATCTGTGCTATTTCAATACCATGCTTTGCAAATCTGTTTTCTGTACACACATTGTTAATATCATGCAATGATTCATGATCTGTAGCGTCTTTAGAATTTGTTTTTCCTTCATACTCCTTTTTCCTAAATGTGCCAGCTGCCATGGGTCCATGACCCATGAGATGTCAGAACCGTGAAATTTATAAGTGACTTTTAATTAGTTCCTTTTGCTTGAATTAAGTTGTGCCCTGTATGCTCATTTAGAGTTTCATCTTGGAGGATTTATTCAGCTTTGCATCCTTGCAGGAATGGGATGCTATTAATGATTTGAAAGCTGACATGGGTAGACTTCAACAAGGGATGAGCAGCATACAGAGGATGCTGGAGGCGTGCATGGACATGCAACTTGAACTCCAACGCTCAGTGAGACAAGAAGTGTCGGCGGCCTTGAATCGCTTTGCAGGACCTGAAGGTTGTACTCCATTGCTCCTTGTTGCATACTGAGATATCTGTGCATCATATAACTGTCTTTGCTAACACAGAGGACACGGCACACCTAACTACAGCTGATAGGGACAATACCTGAATTTCCTTATTATGTTGTTATGCACTTTACGTAGTTTAAGTTTTATTTCCGGTAATTATGCTATTAATAGACATTGTGCATGTTGTCAGTTAGTTGCGTGTTTCTTATTTTTGTCATACAGTAATTTCGCTGAAACTCTGTATGTACAGAAATCACTGAAACAACCTGTCCCTTTTATTTTTCAGGGTATCCGACGGATCTATCTGACGATGGATCAAAATGGGATCAAGTGAGGAAGGGAACCTGCTGCGTATGCTGCGATGCGCAAATTGATTCTCTATTATACAGGTCAGCTTCACAGCTAAACATGTCTGATACTTTGATGTTACTAATCTCTAACCTTTTTTGTCTGATGTACTTGTAAAACCCATTTGGTGATGGTGACAGATGCGGGCACATGTGTACTTGCTCAAAATGTGCAAACGAGCTAATTCGCAGTGGTGGCAAATGCCCACTATGCCGAGCGCCGATCGCGGAGGTGGTTCGGGCATATTCAGTAATGTAAAGTTGTGGAAATACAGTAGGGAAGGGAATAAAACTGATGGAAAAAGCGAAGTTTTGCTGCACGAAGCTTTGTTCAGGAAAAAGGGGAAACAAGAGCTCTGCTGCTGCTTCTTCTTCATTCTTTTTCTTCTTCCATTTTTGTCTGTCCTCTCTCGTCTTCTTCTTGTGTATCTATCGATCTACTACAGGTTTACATATTTGTTGCCTTGCTGTTGGCCGCAGCGCGAGCAGCAAAGGGCGTGTTAATTGATTGTTGGAAAGAGTTTGCGATGGGTAGGACTGGAGTAAAAAGAGAGCGGCTGCCCATTGTAAGTTCTTTCCCTGTATTTATGTCCTGAACTGAACTGAACAGAAGAGACACTGGCAGTTACTCATATAGATTATTAATCTAATCCCACCTCTTTTGACTGAACTATTGCATTATTATCATGATCTTTCTTCTTCCAAGAAGCCCATGCCTTGCGGTTGCGGGTCAGCCGTGTTCTGATGCTGACGATAGTGGTGTGTGTAGCCAGTATAGAATAGATTAGGTTATTCGGGTTATTATTATCTAAAAAGGAGGTGATGCAGATTGTCGGCTGGGGTGTTGCTTGGTTTGACACGCGTGGTGCATTGGCATTGCGCGGTGCCTGCACACGTGTAATGTGCGTGCATGTCAAAACCAATGGGAGCAGCTATATTTACTATATTTGTGGTATCACGCTTTTCCCTAATAAATAACTAGTCAAAAAATTATTTTTTAGCTAAAAGTAACTAAAATGTACTCCCTTTTTCTTTAAATATTTGATGCCGTTTACTTTTTAGCACATGTGATCGTTCGTCTTATTTAAACACTTTTATAAAATATATAAAACTATATGTATACATAAAAGTATATTTAACAATAAATCAAATGATAGGAAAATAATTGCAACATGGACTAGAGATATAACTATGTTTTCACTTAACACCATATATATTTGCAAGCTTTTGCATTTTGCACCAGGTCAATGGTTTAGACTGCTATGTTGCTTCTCCAAGTGCACATAAATTACTTCACTTATACCAATAACTAACGCAGCAATCGCAACGGAGCAGTAGCTAAATTTGCACAAAATCAATCAAGTTTAACCCAAAATTAACAATCTCCCTAAGAAACCATAAATAAAGTACCCGTGACTCCGTCCTCTTTTCAATCCTAGCATCATGCGAGATGTTCTCCATTGATGAAACTGACAAAGTCACACTGCCTGATGAAGCCGGTGAGGGTTTCGATGACCTGTCTACCGCCGCCCTAGTGACTAATGTTGACCACAGAGTTGCTTGACATTATTTTTACTGTAGACTTTTTAATTAATTAGAACTGTCGATTTACTAGATCGATCCCAGGGAAGATGGCAATGCAGAACGGAGGTGGAGACGAGTGGAGTCCACCACCTCCTGCTTGCATTGCATGCCATGGACAGAGCCACGGTGGCAGCTCAAACCCTTCACTCCAGTCCAAAGTGAAAAAGCTTGTCAACATATATGGTGTTAAGTGAAAACATGAACTTATCCCTAGTCTAGGTTGTAAATAAAATAAACGGTCAAATATATTTAAAAAAAAGTCAACGATGATAAATATTTAGAGAGTGAGGGAGTAGTAAAAGAATGTAACGTCGTATTAACCTCTCTAAACCCCGTGGCGTCAGCGACGTTTTGCAAAGCATTCCTCGCGCTTTCAGCTAATTACGCATTAGTCCCCGGTAGCATGCACCATCCGATCTCGCGCTACTATTTTTTAAGCAAGCTGGAACCAACCAGAGGAGAGAGGAGATTTGCCGGTTCTCCTTGCTGCTGGTTATACACGGTAATCGAGCTTATCTAACCATCAGGACCCAAAAAGAACCCATCGCATTGAAAAGAAATTTAAACAAAGATTTGAATTGTTGACCAATTATCGCTAGAGCCCATGTGGCATTCGATCTTGGCCAACGATAGAATCTGGGCCCACATGTCAGCGAGTACATATACAGTATATAGATAGATAGAAGAAGGAAACAACTCAACCGCAGCAGTTGTCTCGTCTCGTCAGTTGAGTTGAGTAGTGTTGACTTGAGATTCATCACATCTGAGTGAGTAAGAGTTTGGAAAATGGGCGGCGGAGGAGACGGCGAACTGTCCCCGGCGGAGGCCAGGCTGGCGATGATGGAGCTCGCCAACATGATCTCCGTCCCCATGGCGCTCACCGCCGTCATCCGCCTCGGCGTCCCCGCCAAGCTCTGGGCGGGAGGCGCCAACGCCCCGCTCGCCGCCGCCGACCTCCTCCCCGCGGGCCACCCGGACCCCTCCGTCCTCGAGCGCCTCCTCCGCCTCCTCGCCTCCCGCGGCGTCTTCTCCGAGCACACCGGATCATCCTCCCCCTCCCCGCGCCGCTTCTCGCTCACCGCCGTCGGCCGCACCCTCGTCCCCGGCGGCGGCGGTAGCCCCTCCGGCTCCGGCGCGTCCTACGCCGACTACGTTCTGCAGCACCACCAGGATGCGCTCGTCCGCGCCTGGCCCCTCCTCCACGAGGCCGTCCTCGACCCCTCCGGCCCCGAGCCCTTCGCCCGCGCCAACGCCGGCGTCCCCGCCTACGCCTACTACGGCAAGGACAGGTAGATTAGAATTAGATCAACCAATTAATTATAATCTGCTAGCTGCTTCCTCTCCAATCTAATCTCCATCGGATTCGGACTTGCAATTGCAGGGAGGCGAACGAGGTGATGCTCCGGGCGATGACGGGGGTGTCGGAGCCGTTCATGGAGGCGCTGCTGGAGGGCTACGGCGACGGCGGGTTCGAGGGGGTGAGCACGCTGGTGGACGTGGGAGGCAGCTCCGGCGCGTGCCTGGAGATGATCATGCGGCGGGTCCGCACCATCCGGGACGGCGTCAACTTCGACCTGCCCGACGTCGTCGCGGCGGCGCCGCCCATTCCCGGTGAGTATGAGTGACGTCATCCCAGCATATCCACTGTGGCTCACGTTTGTCTCTCCATGGCTGGTTGGCTTGCTTCACGTGACGTCGATTCATCCACAAGGACTCGATCGTTTCCTTCATCACTACCTACCACGAGTTTCAGGAAACAAACGATAGTGAAGTACTCCCTCGGTTTCAAAATTTTAAAATGTTTGACCATTCATCTTATTCAAAAAATTTAAATAATTATTTATTCTTTTCATATCATTTGATTCATTGTTAAATATACTTTCATATACACATATGGTTTTACATATTTCATAAATTTTTTAATAAGACGAACGGTCAAACATATGCTAAAAAGTCAACGGTATTAAATATTTTGAAACGGAGAGAGTATTTGTGTTGTTAGAGATGAAACAGTGGTTACAAACTACAAACAAGAAGCGCCTGGGAAACGATACGTACGCCTAATAATAATACAGGAGTAGTACGTTGGTTTGCAGCTACTTCACGTGTGATGTTTGACATAACGGATCACGAGACGCCACACAATAATACAAGTATACTACCGTACATCATGCAAGTGAAGCACGAGTTGTACACGTCGATCAATGTAGGGGACTATTTGTTTTTCGCTAAAATATGCATGGGGCTCAGGGTCATTTTGTTGTGTTCCTGATGCTAAGAGCAAGTTTAATAGTATAGCCAACTACTAACTCTAAATCATATATAGTCAATTTAATAGCTAATTTATACAATATTTACCTATAAACATATATTACATAATTAATATCTGGTTCCACCTGTCATATACACATATATCTTGAAGTCCGTACTGCAGCCGACTACAAATCTGTAGCCCACTACTCTTCTCTCTTAGAGCAAGTTTAATAGGATAGCCAACTATATCTCCAAATCATCTATAGCCAATTTAATAGCCAATTCATATAATAGTTGCTTACCACACTATTAATACCTGGTTCCACGTGTCATACACACATTATGTCTTGGAGTCCATGCTACAGCTGGCTACAAATCTGTAGTCCGTTGCTCTTCTTTTTTATCTCCTTAAAATATGTTCATAGCTAGCTTATAGTCTGCTATTAGAGCAGGTACAATAGCAGACTATTAACCACCTGCAAACATATTTTAATAAGATAAAACATAAGAGAGAAAAGCAGTGGGCTACAGATTTGTAGCCAGCTGCAGTGCGGACTTCAATACACAATGTGTGTATGACATATATGATCATATATTAATAGTATAATAAACAACTATTGTATGAATTGACTATTAGATTAGCTAAGAATGAATTGGAGCTAGTAGTGGGCTATACTATTAAACTTGCTCTTATATCCGCTCTTATCTTTTATTTTCTCAAAATGTGTTTATAGTTAGCTTATAGTTCGCTATTGTACATGCTCTAATTAGTGACCATTAAAATTCAGGAGTGAGGCATGTTGGCGGGGACATGTTCAAGTCCATCCCCTCCGGTGATGCCATCTTCATGAAGGTAAGTAATAGTATACCCCCCCCCCCCCCCCCCAATTTTTCTTTCTGCATCAGATTCTGTCCAAGAATTCAAACATGCAGTGAATGGCTCATTAATTCCCATTTTGTTTTTTTTTTTGCATCGAATTACGTATGTACATGAATTAAAACAACCCTGCTAGTTCATTTTTATACGGCATACGTATGCAGTGGGTTCTGACGACATGGACGAACGAGGAGTGCACGGCGATCCTGAGCAACTGCCACAAGGCGCTGCCGGGCGGCGGGAAGGTGATCGCCTGCGAGCCGGTGGTGCCGGACACGACGGACGGCAGCACGAGGACGAGGGCGCTGCTGGAGAACGACATCTTCGTCATGGCCACCTACCGGACTCAGGGCAGGGAGCGATCCGAGGAGGAGTTCCGCCACCTCGGCCTCGCCGCCGGCTTCGCCTCCTTCCGGGCCATCTACCTCGACCCTTTCTACGCTGTCCTCGAGTACACCAAGTAGTAGTCATTCATTCATGCTGCATCAATTTGCTGCTGAAATCAACAACCACGTTTCCTTCCTTTTCTTTTTGGTCTCGTGACACTGTCAAATAAGCAGTATTTCAATTGTGCAATCAGACCATGTTCTTTTGAGCATTCACAGCATCAGAGTAATGGAAAGGTGTAGCAGTTTACGATTGCTAGCATGCAGTTAGCAGTGTGCCCACTACCACCAACGTTTTGGTACATGATGGAAGGGGGAATCAACAATCACTGCCCAAACATATGTGGGGAGTATATTCATTCATATAACAATTATTTCTTAATAGCTACGGTCACAAACATTAACACTGTTGTTTGAAACGTTCGCCGCTGCTCGACAACATTAATCCTCTTTCTTATCTTCTGCTGTGGTAGTAGTAGTACTAGCGCTTTGGGGTTCAACTAGAGGTTTTGATTCACTTGCACCCTGTACAGCAAAAGGAGTAAACCAATCACATCAGAATGGCCTGTTGCAAACTGAGTTGCTGCAAAATTCCCTACTGGCTCTAGTATGATGCAGTACCATGCATAAAAGCTAGCTGTCTCTATAGAGTTTGTAAATTATCAGTGGGGGCATGCTAAGTGTTAATATCTTGCATAATGAAATGGTCGACTTAAGGCAGAAATAAGTATAGCAAATACTAGCATGGAAGCTTACTTCATTGTTCTTTGCCGCAGGCTTAAACGGGCAAGCAGGCGGGGCTCTTTCAGGCCTCCTGTATTCCCATCCAAATAGTCGATAAATCTTGCTCTGGAATGTCATTCAGAACATGAATCAATTTTCAGAATACAGATAACAGGAGAACCTAGAAACATATGCACATTGCGTGCTAAAACACCAATAAGGCTACTTCAGGCAGCGCTAAACTAGACCGCGTACATCAAGTTTTCATTAAGAAAAGAGATTGGCATAGTTCAGGGCATGTTTGAAACATGGACAAAATTCTTCATTTGTTCCAACATTTGACGCCTTTGCTGCCCTCAAATAGAAAACACTCAGCAGCTACAGAACATTATTTTATTTCTTTCAGCTTGGGATTATTATAATCCAGATTATTGAGAGTAAGCGGAAAGAAACAGACAACTTATTTAAGTAGCTTATTATAATCTGGAGCCCAGCTTATTATAATCTGATAAGCTCATTTAGGTGAGCTTTTTCCAGATTATTTGGTGAAAAATTACCCACCATGCCACCCCACTCTCTCTTTAGACTTGCAAACCCAATAATCTAGGCTCTAATAATTTAGGAAAGAAACAACTAACCGCTTATTCTACTACATATTATAACAATCTAGCTTATAGTAATCTGACTCAATAATCTAGATTATAATAATCCAAAGCTGAGAGAAACAGGGCCTTAGTTATTTGTTATCCAGAGTAATATGAATAGCAAAACATCTTTCAGCATTATTTATTGTCAAGTCAAGAAGGGGAACCTTATGTAGCCTTTTGCCTTTCAGTTACTATTTATGCTATATCTTTCGGCTCTACGAGGAGTGTAACTATTATAGTCCCTCCGTTTCACAATGTAAGACTTTCTAGCATTGCTCACATACATATAGATGTTAATGGATCTAAACACATACATATGTCTAGATTCATCAACATCTAAATGAATGTAGGCAATACTAGAAAGTCTTACATTGTGAAACGGAGGAAGTATGATATTTCAGCTGTCCAATGAGCATAACTATGGGAACATGGTTACAAAGAACGGCAAATAATCGTCTCCTTTTTGGGGAAAGCACACAACAATTATCAAGATTCCTTTAGGAATCCTAGTGGATAAGGCACAGACTGGCAAGCGAGGACTATAGTTGCCAATTACTTGCAGTATTCGATAACCGTGGTTAAACCAAAATGTGCAGTTATAGATAGTTCCTTCCTGTTTGTTGCTAGTCAATCAAGCTAACAGATCAGGCTAACCTAAGATGGTTGAATTATACGCTCGCTAGTAAAGAAACAACCATGAAATAACCATTCGTGAGAAGATCTGATTGAACAAAAAGAGAGAGAGAGAGAGAGAGAGAGAGAGAGAGAGAGAGAGAGAGAGAGAGAGAGAGAGGGGAAAGGGATTGGGGCGTTACGAGGATGAGGTGGAAGAGCAAGGGGAGGGCGTTGACGACGGGGATCAAGAAGAGGGGAAGCAAGCACGCGAGGCAAACCTGTACATGGAGCACAAATCGAATCACGATGTTTCATCAGTAATCAGTACAAGAGGGGGGAGCAGACATAATAATAATCAGATCAGAGCAAAAGTTGCTGGATTAGAACACGGGGAATACGCACCATGTCGCCGGATCGAGTCGCCTTCGCGGGATGGCTGGCTGCTCGCCTTGCCCTTGACTTGGAAGCTGGAACTAGGAGAACTCTTCTTCTGAATCGCGAATGGGGAATTGGAGATTTGGAGGAAGGAAGGAAGGAAGCAAGTGCAAATCTCTCCGAGGGGACGGGGGCAATGCTTTGGGCCGGAAGGGGATTGAGTTGAGCGACCAACGGCCCAACTATAAATGGGCCGGAAGGGTGTTGCGACAGCCATGTCATGGGCCTGTTTGTTATCGTGCCGAACTGTATTGCTATGAAGGCGCGGCCCATTAATGGACGTGCGGCAGACAGGAAAGCGCGTGTTGGCGCTGCTACTGTGTCGTCGCCTCGTCGGTGATCGCATCGAATCGATGCTTCATCTCTTCTTTATTTTTTGATGCATGCATGCATGAATATGCACGTCCGTACTTATTGGTGAGACACCAACCAACAACGCAACAGCAGCAGCGACCGGTTATCATATCAGCCAGAGTATGCACTGTCTTGACACGATTTGGAGGTACTCCCTCTATTTCATAATGTAAGACTTTCTACCATTACCCACATATATATATAGATGTTAATGAATCTAAATAAATATAGACAATGCTAAAAAGTCTTACATTATAAAACGGAGGAAGTAGTGTAGAAGAAAATGGCAATTAATAAAAACATAAATATTAGAGCTAGTATCAATTAGAAGGGGTAAGGCTAGCCCACCATCCTATGGAGCTAACCGGAAAACTAATGGGTGTTTCTCGAAACGGTAATTAATCATGTTGAGAAAACATAACATTAATTAAACAGCATGCCCATTCAACATTAATTAAACAGCATGCCCATTCATCCATTGCAGTAGTATATATATAAACAAACGATTAATTGACAAACAGGGGCACAATATAATTAATTAGACGACAAAGATAGCTTAATTGAGGATCGGAGGAGCGTATTAGATGGAGTATACATGGCGGCGTATTAGATAATTAAGCAGTAGTTAGCTAGCCGTGGTACGACGACGAGGAGGAGTTGGAGGATGAGGACGATGGGTGCAGGTGGGTGCGGCATTCCGGGGTGAGGGAATGATCCCGCTTGGGGTCGTAGCAGTAGTTGTAGACCATGTGGAAGCGCTGCGCCCAGCGCATGGCGGCGAGCTGGGCGGCGGTGAGGTCGCCGGCGACGGGGGCGGCGCAGGTGCGGGGCGCGTGCGGCGAGCATCCCCGGAGGAGGAAGGCCGAGAAGCGCGCGACGAACGGCTGGTAACTGTAGTCCGCCCTGTACCTGCCGTCCTCCGTCGCCCACGACGACGCGTCCCAGATGGAGCCGTATACCCACATCGGCCTCGCCGGGAACCCCGCCGCGCCCCCCGCGCTCCGCCGCCCGTACCGCCGGATCGGCACGTCGTCCACCAAGAAGCTGATCGATCCATCATAACACAAATACATTATTCATGCATCCATGCTAGTATTAACATTATACTCCCTCTGTAACAAAATATTTAACGCCGTTGGCTTTTTAAACATGTTTGACCGTTTGTCTTATTTAAAAACTTGTATGAATATTATTCAAAAACTTGAGTAGTAGTAGTATATTTAACAATGAATTAAATGATAGGAAAAGAATTAATAATTACTTAAATTTTTTTAATAAGATAAACAGTTAAATATATTTAAAAAGTCAATGACGTTAAATATTTAGAGAAGGAGTGAGTATTTATGAAATTAATTGAACATATGTGATCATATACTAGCACTACATTTATGCAGATGCTGGGACGAACGACGACAGGGAGTCGGTGTCGGCGGCCTAAGATATTGATGATCGCTAGCTACATGCCAAATCAAGCACTGTACTGTACTGCTGCAATCGTACTACGTGTCAGTGTCGCCGCTGCCACAAGTGTTTAAAGCGTTGGTACGGCACCCTGCAGTTTTGCCGTACGGCTTGTCCATGCTTGATACTCCTACTCCTACTTAATTTGCGCTAATATAATATCGACATAAATCTTTCTTGCTACCATAGGCTATAGCCACCGACAAGGAAACATCAAGATCCATCATCGGACATTTTCGTTTAGCCCAATTAAGCAATCAAGAAAGTGATGAACACTGCTTACTCTGTTTTTAAGTACTTTCTCTATTTTAGGATATAAGATGTTTTAATTTTAGTTAAAGTCAAACTGTATCTAATTTGATCAAGTTTATAAATAAATATAGTAATATTTACATTACTAAATTACTTTTATGTAATTAATAATTAAATATATTGTTATAATAAATTTATATTGATCGATAATATTAATATTTTTTCTATAAATTTGGTTAAATTTGAAGCAATTTAATATTGACTAAAATTAAAAAATCTTGAAACCTTAAACGGAGTGAGTAGATAATATAATTGAATTTAACGTAACGGTTGATCATTAAGCTGTAAATTAAGAAATGATGGAACTGACATGATGTGGTCGGATGTCCAGAGGATGGCGTAGTGGTGGAAGTCGGCGGTGGGGTCGAACCAGAGGTGGAACTTGATCTCGCGGCCGAGGGACCGGGGCGGGTCGCCGGAGCCGAGGGAGAAGACGTTGGTCTGCAGCGTGTAGGGCTTCCCGGGGGTGGTGCCGAGGAACTCCATGTCCACCTCGTCGTGCCACCCCGGGTGCGCCTCGCCGTTGGACAGGTAGAAGGCGGTGATCACCCCCGCCGTGTACCCGCGCTGCAGCCGCACCCACGCCCCGAAGTACCCGCTCCGGTAAGCCCGCCGCGACTTGAACCCGCTCCCCGACCGCCGGTCCAGCCACACCGTCACCCCCGTCTCCGGCGCCGCCGCCTCCTGCTGCTGGTGCTCCGCCCCCCACAGGCTCCGGAAGTCGCGCCCGAACTCCCGCGCTCGGAACATCCTGCTCGGGTACACCCCCGGCGACGGCTGCGCTTCCGCCGCCGCCGCCACCACCACCGCCATCAACGCCACCAACGTCGCCGCCGCCGCCGCGACACCCTGCTGCTGCCTCCGACCAATGATAGCCATTGATCGATCTTACAAACCGGAGGAGTTGCTAGCTTAATTTGTTCAGGGCGAATATAATGCTAGCTCGTGCAAGTTTGTGGGTGGTAGCATATCTCCTATATATAAATAAGCTAAGTAGCTCGGCCGGCTTAATTATGCAATGTGTGCTTAATTACCTAAATCATTAATCTTTTTTCCCTTAAGGATGATGAACAGAGAAATATATTAAAGCTTGTGCAATATATGCACACTGTGATCTTTGTGATATGTCTCGCTCATGATCATTTGCTAGCTTAATTAGCTAGGATCGATGGTCGGTGAGCGAGCATGACTGATCTAACCGCGGACAACACTACACTGCATGCCCATTTATTACTCACAGTGATTTTTTTTCTTCTTGTTTGGTTCATTGAACAACCCAACATTGTGGAACAGCCGAAACCGACACAATTTCTTATCTTTATTTTTTTTTCTTTCCCCCATTTGAGATATCAGAAAACCAACTAACCGACGAAACGGAGCTCAGCAGCCCATACAACGGGCCCAACTCTAACAAAAGCCTATTTAACATTACCGGCCCATATAGATAGAAAGCCCACTAAGCCCTCGTGAAATCCCAGGTAGAAGCCCATTTAACAATTAGTTGGCGTCTCGCAATACACAGACAGAGGTTGCTGCTACTGCGGCGGCGCCACCCACCCCCACCTCGCCGCCGGCGATGGAGCCGCCGCCTCAGGCGGGCCCCTCCCCGGCCGTCCGCGTCCTCTCCCGCACGCCCCCGCCACCCGCCTCCTCCTCCCCCTCCCCGCCGCCCCCCGCCGCCACCCCGCCCTCCCACGACGGCGTCGTCGCCGTCGGCTTCGTCGGCGGCGGGGGCACTGCCCGCCTCGCCGACCGGATCCTGGACGCCCATGTGTTCTCCCCTGGTGGCTCCGCCAGGACCCTCGCGGGCGGAGTCAGGTACCACCGCGACGGGGAGAAGAGGGTGGTGTTCCTGCACCTCGCTCCGTCGCCGCCGACACCTCTGGAGGGGGCGGGCGATCTACGGGAGCTGCTCTTCATGTTCTCCGTGAGTGTTTATAATCGTTTCGATGTAGATCATGAGATGGTGATTCTAGCTGTGAAGGAGGTCTCAGCTTTTGTTTTGCCCTGATATGATATGAAGCTATCATAGCGCGGTCTCTACATTTGTATTAGGTCATCTACCTCTAAATTGTCACGCTGTGTAGCAGCCAATGCAAACTACAGAACTTGGTACAGTAATTTAGTGGCTGGGTTCAATCTTTCTCATGCCTAACTGGATAACTTTGACAACTACGATCGGTTAGTTTTGAAGTGGCGATGTTGTGGGAGATAGGGGCATCATTTATCCAGCTGTTACCTGGACCGTGGGAATGCAAAATAAACTAAAAAAAAAATCTGTGGTTAGCTGATAAATGCACTTGTTTCCTAACTTGATTTGCCAGGGAGAAAAATTTAAGATGACACTTTTAAGTTTGTTTATCCAGTTGTAGCAATTAAATTAACCTATTTGTTGTGGTTTTCCTACCTTGCTTGCAAATCCTCGTGCGATTCAAATTTGTCAGTAACATTTGATTGGTGCTCTGATCCTAGAAGTTACCGTCAAACTTTAGCTAATGGAAATTTAGGATTCAGTTGTTTGGTAATGTTGATTTTGATTTGCTTTTATTTTCTATACGTTGCCAGGTTTGCCATGTAATAATATTTCTCCAAGAAGGCTTCCGGTTCGACACACAGATTTTGAAGAAATTCCGTCTGTTGCAATCCTCAAAGCATGCTATTGCACCGTTTGTGAAGTCACTAGTAGCTCCTGCAGTGCCATCAAAAGTTGCTCGCTCTAATACTCCAACAAAGCCTACTCACAGGGCCTCATCCATCTCTCCTCCTGCACGCCGTGGAGGTCGTCATCCCTCAGCAATCTCGTTGATGTCAGGAACTGGCTCACATCCTTGTATGCTGCCAGGGCTATGCATCCCTGTTGTTCTGTTTGTCTTTGAGGATGATATCACTGATGCTCCAGGTGCTCCGACAAGTCCGGATGATACGAACGACACATCATCAAATCAAGCTTCTAACACTGATGGCTTGCCAAAACCTAACATGACTTCAAAAGGTTCTAGTTCAGTGGTTATGCTTGCTAGGCCAGCAATCAGATCTGATGGTACTTTCAGCAAGAAGCTGCATTCCTCTGTAGAAGGTCAGATACGTTTCTTGCTAAAGAAGTGTCGGACACTTGTGGGTCTAGAGCCAGGGCATATTGTTTCGAGGGGTGTCAGTAATGTGAGCCACCTACCTCTGTTCTCACTTGATACATCAAGGGTCGTTGCACTGTTGGATCGGTCAATTAGTAAGAAACGTGAGCCATTGGATATCATTGCAGGACTGTTTGAAGACTCTTTGACATCCAAATCATCATTGGATGTTTCTTCGCTGGAGAACAATTGCCATCCAGCAACCCATGAAGATGTTCAGTTCATCAAGGATTTTATATTTCGACAATCAGATGGGCTGAGAGGAAGAGGGGGACACTCAAGCAATACAACTGCTGGTCCTGTTTCTGGTGTTGGAATGGTGGCAGCAGCAGCAGCTGCTGCTGCAGCATCAGCAGCATCCGGGAAGCAAATGAGTGCTCCTGATCTCCCTACTTTCGATACATGGTTGTCTATAAGTTCATCTATTTTGTCTGCACTGTTTAGTGGGGAAGATGGGTTAAGTAGTTCCCAAAACATGAAGGCATCACCTACTCATACAAGTTCATTTCCAAAGAACGATCAACTTCCTTCAGCAGGATCCAACGCAATTCAAACTGCTTTATCTTGCTTGGAAGGCAATAAGGGGCTTAATGTGAAATTTTCTTCATCATGGTGCCAAAGGATACTTCCAGCTGCTAAGGAGGTGTATTTGAAAGATTTGCCTGCCTTTTACCCAACCAGCATGCATGAAGTACAGCTACAGAAAGCTTTACGATCCTTCCACTCAATGGTTAAAGGACCGGCTGTCCAAGTATTCTCCAAGAAGCTAAAAGATGAATGCCAAGCAATATGGGAATCTGGAAGGCAGCAATGCGATGCTGTCAGTCTTACTGGCAGACCATGTAAGCACCAGAGACACGGTAAATCCTCTCCATCAGATGCAGCGTTACAGCATTCTAGTGGATATGTTTTCCTCCATGCATGTGCCTGTGGCCGGTCACGCCGTCTTAGGGATGACCCTTTTGATTTTGAGGCAGCGAACATGACCTTTAACTGCTTCTCTAATTGTGAAGATCTGTTACCTACTCTTGTGCTTCCAAGAGAGACCAATGCTGGTGCATTTCCAGTATCCTCTTGGCGTTTGGTGCGGCTTGGAGGAGCAAGATATTACAAACCAACAAAAGGATTGCTCCAAGCAGGTTTTTGCTCCAAGGAAAAATATCTTTTAAGGTGGACGATTTCTCTTGGGAAAGGACAAGGGAAACATGGCACTCATGCTACCAATAAACCTTTCTCCACGGCATCTAATGCAGATCCTCAGGCTCCCCCTATTGTTGCTGGAGAAGTAAAATCGGCCGTGACCCAAGTCACAGCAGAAATTAAATCTATGAAACTTGAAAATTCTAGAAAACAACCTGAAGTCGAGTCAATGAACAATTCAAGTATTAATTTTGGTAAAGGTCTTCCAAACTTTACTATGAAGAAGCCTTTTGCTGAAGTTGTTGCTGGCCACACAGCAAGGGATTCTGAGTTTCCTGCTCTCCAACAGAAGAGGCCATTAAAACCTGGCAACTGGAAAGATGAGCGGCAAGTGAGTGGAGCAGACCAAACTAATGGCCGTGGTCATCCAGCTCTTAGTCAAGGACCTATAGCTGACAATGAATCTGAGAAAGTGAGCAGAGATAAGAGTAATGGAAGTGCTGGCGGAAAGCCATTTCTACAGATAGGGAGCAATATAGTGCCAATGGTTGTCGGAAAAGAGACTAAAGAAGTTAATCAATCTATACAGCAGTTCATGGTATATGTCGGATTTGAGCACGAGTGTTCCTATGGTCATCGTTTCTTACTGTCAGAGAAACATCTCAAGGAGATTGATTCGTCTTATTTGCAGTTTGAAAGATCTAATCTAAATAATGAAGCAGAAAGCAAACATGGTTCACAAAAGTTGCCCCAAAATGCATCTAGATTAGCAGCAACAATGGATGTGACCAGCGGAGGGAAGCTCAATAGGCCAATGGATTCATCAGGGAGAAACAGCCAGCAGCAATTGCTTAAGCCCAGGGTTGACGCTGAGACCTTGCAGCCTTCTCACTGGCTTTCAGATCCACAGAATGAAAGAAAGGGAGAGCTTTCTCTTCATTATGTTACACTTGATGATGGTGGAGAAGCATTTTCACTTCTAAACAGAAATCTGCCCATATATATGCACTGCCCACATTGCAAGAGCTCAGATAGGAAGGGAAATCAAGATGCAAAGGTTGCTGCTGCTGTGTCACAACTTCAACGGATTTTTATTGTAAGCTGCTCTCCTTTTGAACCTTGTAGTATTTATCTGTTCTTTAATATTGTCTTTTCACTGATACGGCTACTCTTTTTGGTGAAGGTCACACCTGATTTCCCTGTTCTGCTGGCAAGCTGCCCAGTTGTACAGTTTGAGGCAAGTACAATCATCCCTACTCATGTAGTCGTTTTATCTTCTCAATGTTCTAGTATCAAGCAAATGAATCTCTTCTTGATATTTTAGTATCGAACAAATGAAATTCTCACTTGTAAACTGGGATCATGGGATGCAATTTTTTTTTACGACATGCATTTCTTAAATATTATGCGAGTTAAGTTTCGTTTTATCTCACTGGCATCAGGCCTCATGTTTGCCTTCAAATGCTTCTGACCATGATCAACAAGGATCGTTCAGTCTTGGTTGTCGAGTTGTCCTTCCACCTGAGAGCTTTCTTACCATGAGACTTCCATTTGTCTATGGTGTTGAGACAAGAGATGGAAATACAGCTCCCCTGAAATACCTTGAGGAACAACCAGAACTCACAGCTTGGCTTGTTGGAGGCACAGCTTTGCAGATTGTATCAGTAGGGCATACTAATGAGAAAGAAGCACCACTGTGAAGTGCGAAACGTGGGCTCTTAAGATTTATTCGTTTTGGTGTATCCTATTTTTGCATTCAGTGATGGGCAATTGGTAAGATGATGCACTGATATTGTACTTTGGTCATTACCCATCTTTAGTCAACTTATATGGATATTATCTACTTCATTCATTTTTCAGGTTCCAGCATTGAATTTCAGGATTCCGGCAAGTGTAATGGCTCATGATGTTTACATGGAGGTCTCGCCTCTCCTGCTGGATTTACGATGCTATGCTATTGATACAACTCTAGCTTCCTTTTGCATTGAGAAACAGGAGCTCTCTTGACAAGATGAATGATGCACAATGGATGCATTGGAGTGAGCTGGTGATGCAGGTACGCAATGTCAGTTCTAAACTTTCACTGTAGTACACGAGATGGGATTGGTATATCCAGTGAACCCGATGTTTGTTATTGATGCAGGGAACTGGACATGTACATTAATAGGTGTCAGGTAAAATTTCACTGTTGTATATTAATAGATGTTCCACGACAATTCGCCTTTGTCTCAGAATTTTAGTCCCATGAGTTAGTCCGTTTTAGCATGTAATGGTTTAGGCTTTTAGTCAGTCTAAATGCTGCTGTACTGTTGGGCATAATAATAAATTTTACACTGTCTTTGTAAAGCAAGAAATGATCACTGAATGACATGCTGTAGAAAATTCTTGTTTAAAGTTTTCTTGACTAGTCATATGTCCTACAGAATTTCTTGCTGAGGAATTCAGGGGATCAACTTCAAGAAGCGAAAACTAAAACCCGGAAACTCAACTTGGTCATTTTGCAGCCTTTATTGGAGAGATGAACGCTCCAGGTTGGCATGGCAGCAGCCCCTTCTTGTAGCCTGGAGGTTGGAGAATGTTGAAACTGGAAGGAAACGCATGAACCAGTCCTGTTTGACAAGTGTAAAGGCACAGAAAGAAAGTGACGAGATCACAGTTGAGCCAAGCCTGTGCGACGATGCCTGCTTTTTCTTCACCTGCAAAACAACCGTTTCCACGTGATCTGAAGAATCATTCATTCCAGAATGCTACTTATTGTCACTCACTGTTCCTGGCCTGACACGTTAGTTATCTTAACTATGGCAACTCCTATACTGTTTTGTCAGTCCTGGTTGTGTTTTTTTTCCCACTCCATCGTCTAGTCGTCACTGAAGGATCAACTGCTTTGACAAGCAGATGTGCTGCCTAATATTTTCTTGGTCGATAACTGACCTGGACATGAACACTCTCCTGCCTAATCGACCAAAGTCGAAGTAAATGCAAACAGCAGCTTTGATTGAGAGAGCCCTTGCTTTCTTTTGCAGGAACTATTAGTAATTTGCAACCACTCAATTTGTTCAGTTATGCTTGATGGGCTCATGTGTTTTTTGTCTGAATACCCTGCTGTTAATTAACGGCTGAAAATAAACCAAGTCAGAAAATTAGCTCTGCCCAAATGATGTGACTCAGTGTAATATATGAGCAGCTCTACTCCAAATGATGTGACTGTTAATGTTATAAAGAATGTTAAAGAAGATTATCTTTGCCTAGCAAGCACACAACAATACAATTATTCCTGACAGGCTAATGACAAGCATCACATAGCTATGAAAAAGAACATGCACATTTTCGACTTTAGGCATCGATGTGTCTATGCGTAGGAGAAAGAGAACCCAACAGAGTACTAATATGTCTGTGGCAACTTGATAAGCCTCATCTTGGCAAGCTGAAAAGGAGAAAGTGGAACCAATACTCAATAAATTAAAGCACTTTGCTAATCTTACCTGCTTTCAAGACAGGGACATCTCCATAACACATACGTAATCTCTCTATCTCTCTCTCTCTCTCTCTCTCTCTCAAGGTGCATCAAGTACCAAAAATATGCATTTAAAAATAGTGTGAATTAGGTTTGCTTCTTCTCTCTGAAGAGTTTCAGAAGACTTGTTGGAAAATTTGTGTGTGAGAGAGAATCAAAACAGAGTATATAAAAGAAGGAAATATAAGTACAAATTAATTGATACATGTATACATATTTCTTGGATGATGCCAGAAATCTTGCATGTGATTTTAGAGGAGGAAATTGAAAGAATGTGAAAGCCATAGACAATTGCAGCTAGATATGCAAGGACGGCAGTTGGAGTTGGAAATTGGGAGCTGTATAGTACAAGAATATATATATATGATGCCACCAATCTATAGTGCACTTTCAGTGTATTGGTGATGTAGCAAATGGCATGGCCGGCTGCTCTACTGCTACTGCTACTCTTATTGCTCTACTGTACCAATATATCAGCACATGTTTGATTGATGTTCCTCTTGCCTACCAATGGGGTGGGGCCCACATTGGAAGCTTGCAAAGGCAACTAACAAAAACCATATACTCCATAAGCTAATTACACTAGTAGCTAGCACTATTGGACTACTAGTACATCTCATAATTAATTAAAAAAAAGTGCACTGCTAGCTACTCGATCCACTTGACTCGATCATACCCTGCTTAATTAGCTAGCTACCTTACTGGTTAGTCAGTACAACTCACCAGATTAATCATGGAGCTCCCGTGATTAAGTCAGGTCGAAATCAACCCACACGACGAGCTAATAGCTGAAGAACTGTATATATAGCTAGTAATCAGATGACACCAGCTAACTAACGGTGTTTCTTTATGCAACAGATTAAGCCATACAAATCATGTACTAGCTAGCCCTATTAGCTTCAGAGTATACCAACTGATGATCAATTAAGCTAGCCATCAGAACGAAGAAGCTTTATTTGGGCAACCGCAAGAACTCAAAGCCATGTGGCAATAATGTCAACTCCAACCCCAGATAGATCTTTTTATTCAAAAAGATAAATCTCTTTAATTAATTTCTAGTTTTCTTCGCAGTTTACTTTTCTTCTGTTGCAGAAAGACACATTTTTTTTTCTTTTTTGCGAGGACAGAAATTAAGGCTGAATTTTTGGTCTACTTACGCAAACTAAGAGTACACAGCAAAATAGCTAGCTAGTACTGCATATATACAAGACGTGCACTTCACCAATGGCATATATATCATCTTACTGCAGAATATCATTGATCGATCGATCGTTGCTGCAAGATGGTACCGGCCGGTTGGTTAAATTATAAATAAAAAAGTCAGTAATAGCTAGCTTAATTAGCTCTTTGATCCAGTCATATATGTACCTACGTGTACCAAGAATATTCAAGACGTACTACTCTGGTACGTTCAAGACTAGCTGCAAGATACACTCTCTAGCTTGCTAATTAATTAATACGAGTATAATTCAGAAATCAGAATAAAAATCGATCACTGATAACATAAATATCAGTCTAATCTTTTTAGATAAGGATTTTCATTAACTCGAGAGTAGTGGTACTGATCAGTAGTGACATATATACAAGGAGAAATTCATGGTGTACTGCATGCAAATATATACGCGTCTTAATTTAATTTGCGACAGATCGATCTATCGGTCGACTTGCATACTGCTTGCATATCTATCTAGCTTAGCTTAATTATTAATTCAACGCATATTTATTCAGCAGGCAGGCAGGCCAAAGTACGTACATAGAGGAGAAGATTAGACATGAGTGATGAGATGCCATGCCGTATAGTATAGATATATATAGAGAGATATGATCGACCAACAATCTATATGCATATGGATCATATGCATGCATGCATGCATTCTGCAGGTAAGTATATATTCCATCCATCCATCGATCCATGATCTATAGCTAGCTCAGCTCAGCTCATCTGGCCGGCCTATATGTTCGTCTTGCTGTCAAATTAATAAAAAGTAAGTACATGTCACGGAAAGTATCGCCTGCCTGCCTGCCTTTTCACTTCAGCTACCTTACCTCTGCAGCTGCAGCGATCGACCACTTGGATACACTTGCTGCCTACTGCAAACAACGACTGATTTTTAATTAATTTGCAAATTAAACACCTAGCTATATGGAGTGCACCTTAATTCAGAACTGAAATTTTGTTAGTTCAGCTTAATTTTTGCAATCAACAATTAATAGTGCAGCTTGTGGATATGTACACTACATTAATAAGGGGACGGCTGGGATGCTGATGACATGAACAGTGTGTATAGTTGGACATGCAGTGATCCAAATTGCCCAATTTGGAATATCAAGTGACTTCTTGCATAAGAGGGAAAATATCAGCACTCAATAGATAGATATTCACAAGTACACACACATGCAGGGGATCATGAAAATTCTGACTTTAGGTCTAAGTACGAAAAAAAATGATTTTCATCGATCAACACTAATATATTAATTAACTTTAGTGGTAATTGAAGATGCATGCATGAGATCCACTTCAGAGATCGACTAATTAATTGATTAATCATATAGTATATGTTATTATCTCCTTAACTTGTTGCTCATGTATATATGCTAGTGCAGAGCTGAAGAGGATCACAGCATGCATGCACACTGCAGCTGGCTGTGGCTGCAGGCTAGCTTGCAAACAAAACAAGCTCCCCTGCAGGAAAAGCACCTGATCCGGCCTAATTTGCATCTTTCATTGCATATGCTGATATGCATATGCCCCTGTGATTAATTTACTTACTTGATGCTGGAGAAACCAACTAATAAAGCATACATACACACACATATATCCAAGGGCAAGCAACTAATTGAGCAAGACAGGCCAGTAGTGAAGCTAGGCAACAAACTGAAACAACTCACTCTTGCTCATCAAATATATATATATATATATGCCAATTATATTAATTAATTTGCCCAACTCTCACTCATACTGATACTGCTAGCTAGTAGCAGCTTGCATTGTTGGCTAGCTTCCAATTGTCTTTTGCTTGCAACCCTCTCAACTCCCTTGGCAACTTTGCCTACTTCACTATCTCTATCTTTATTGCAGCAAGGCAGCTAGCTACTATAGCAAAGCCCAAAAGGAAACGTATGTACTAATGTACACCACTACTTGAAACTTACCAAATTAATAAATACAATTAACGTACCAACACGTATTAAGAACAAACAGCAGGCGTTAATCAAAATTTAATTTCTCCCCCGAGATAAATTAACTAATTGGAAGTGATGTTTGCAGTGCAGTGTCCGAAAGGGAATAATATTGCATCAAAAGTATATAAACAGATCATGCTTTATATGTACAGGGATATTTAATTTTTGCAAACACTGCCACTGAACAGAAGTGATTAAGTGATTAAGCTAGCTAGCTAACTAAGCTAGGATACAGATCAATTTTTTTAAAATAAAAAAAGAGAGAGAAAGGAATAGTTGAATAGTCCGTAGCCGGCCATTACATTGCACCCACTCCCTTCTTAATTTCCATGAGAAGAATGGCAACGAATTGCATTGCCACCATCTTCTTTTTTTCGTCACATTTTCAGACAACTTTCCACCACTCACTCGTGCTCGCACACTCTCGATCGATCACACTCCAAGTGGCGGCCAAACTTTAATAATTTCTGGACAAAAATTGATCTCAAACTTGATTCATTTTCATATGTATAAATGTCAATCAATCCCTATGTATGTATGTATGTATAGTTAATCTTACAGAAAAGAATCGAAAGAATCAATAGTATATGTTACAGTTTCCAGCTTGATGTACATGCCAAACAAATTTGTAAGTAAACATGCATGTATAGTGATTAATCCCCCAGAAAAAAATTAAGAAGAAGAAGTGAAAAAAATGATCAATTGATCAGTGTTAATCACGAAAAGAATTCTTGAGCTTAGCTTTGCTCATGTCATGTCAATAATGGCAGCCGACCAGCGCGGCGGAGGCGGTGAGCTGCAGAATTGGCTTCTTGCCGTCGTTGAACTGCCCGCCGAGAGCCAGGAGCACCGGCGGCGGCGGCGGCGGCGGAGGAGACACGGACTCCTCGTCGGACGGCGCCGGCAGGTTGAGGTCGAGCTCCAGGTTGATGCTCGTGCTTCCCTCTTTCTTGGTGTCCGGGGCGGTGGCGGTGGCGGCGGTGGTGGCGGCCGTGGTCGCCGCGCGCTCCGGCGGCGCGTGCAGCGGCCGGTGGCGCCGCATGTGGCCGCCCAGCGCCTGCCCGGAGCCGAACTCGGCGCCGCATATCGAGCACTCGTGCACCCTCAGCTTGTTGATTATGCTGCCGGCGGCGGCCACGTTGTTCAGGCTCAGCACGGTGGTGACGTCCGGGACCACGACGGCGTCCGCCTGAGGCGGCGGTGGAGACGGTGCCGACGGCGTCGTCGTCGTCGTCAGCGGCGGCTTGGACTTGACGACGATGGCGTTGGTGTTGGTGACGTTGTTAACGTTGTCGTCGTCGGCGCCGGGGAGGCGAGGCTTCTTGTGGCTGGCGCGGTGGCCGCCGAGGGCTTGGAAGGTGGGGAAGCACTTGTTGCACGTCTTGCACTCGTAGACGTAGAACCCGGCCCTGACGCCGTCCGCCGTGGTGGCCGCCTCCGTGTACTTGCGGCTCGTGTACCTCTCGCTCTTCACCACCACCACCGGCGGCTGCGGCGGCGGCGGCGCGGGCGCGGGCGCGGCGAGCACCGGAGGCTGCGCAGGCGGCGGCGGCGGCGGCGCTGGCGTGGACGGCTTGGAGTCGACGACGGCGGCGCCCTGAGCAAGCAGGATGAGGCAGTGCGCCATGTCCTCCTCCTCGGTGGTGGTGCTCTCGGAGGAGGAGGCCGGCGCCGCGTGGTGGCGCGGCCTCTTGGTGCGCTTGCGCTTGACGACCCCGGCGTGCTTGTCCTCCACGGACATGGCGACGAACGCCAGAGCGCGCTCTGTGTCGGCGTGATCGGTGGCTTGCATGGCGATCGATCGAAAGCAAGAAACGATGGATGGAATCGAAGTGGAGAATGAATAGCAAGTTTCGATCTCTTTGCCTCCTTATCAATGGAGGAGAGGAAAGAGGAGTAGGAATGGCAAAAACCTAGCCTAGCTACCAAGCTGCCTTTGCTTCTTCTTCTTCTTCTTCTTCTTCTTCTTCTTCTCTTCTTCTCCTGTGATGTGTTGGTGACTTTGGATATATATGTGTCTTCTCTTCTCTGCAAGGCTTTGCTGTTGCTTTGCAACTCTTATAACCTTCCACTCTAGAGAGAGAGAGAGAGAATTAATTAGGGAGAGAGAGAGAATATGTGTGTGTTTGTGTCTGTGGTTTAGTTTAATTAGGTGGTTAATTACAGCAGCTAGCACAGGTGCATGCTATTGTTAGAAGGTGTAAATAGGCAGTATAGGAGATGGAGCACAAGAAGAAAGGTTAACTGGTGGCCAAGGAACGGGCACGCCGAGAGTGTGTGTTAAAAGGCTCCCTCTTAATTACTTGTGGACGATTTTGATGCCTGGCTAGCTCCCTCTACTAGCTGCCTTTTAACTTCGTGTGCCAAATATGTTTTTACATCATTATTAGACACCCTTAATTTAGCCCCTTGCTTGTTTTCCAAATGCTTAATTACTTACCCTCTTGAATTAACCCATCAAAGTGTATGTGTGTGTGCGTGAGTGAGGATGAAGCTGTGCCTACTCAACTATTATACTAGTATCTATAGTTAGCATAGCTGTTGTTTTCTTTTTGGTGATGAATTCAAGTAATATACTCCCTTTGTCGGCTTCATTTCTAGTATTTTTCAGATAAATTAGTAATGATGAGAAATAACTATGGTGTCTCTTATTCATACTCCTGGTTGTATTTACTAATTAAGCTCCAATTAAATGCCTTAGTCTGATTGGTTTGAACCCTTTGAAATCTAAGTTTTTTTATGGGATGAATTTTAAGCACCAGAAATTAAGTCTTTCTAGAACGGAGAGAGTAGACAGAATAGATAGAGGGAGCTAGGTGACAACATGTTTGCCACTACTAATATATGTGGACATGGACAAGAGATTGAAAAGGATCCAAGTAGGAGTGGCGAGTGAGTAATTTGTGCGTGGTAACAGGTAGGCCAAGAAAGAAAAGAAACCATGCAAGCAAGCCCAATATTCCCTGGGGGATGATGTGCATGTTTGGATGTGTGATTCCTGGGGTGATAGTGTCACACTGCAAGGCTGTCTTGAACCACAGGAGAAAAAATACTCTGCTTTTTGATCTGCTTCTCATGACCTATATATGGTTCTTTCTATTTCTTTGCTTGTTTTAATAATTAGTATGCCTTTAAATTTAGTAATAAAAGGTATATGTGAAAGTCCACCAAATTGTTTGATGGTTCTTAATAATTGAGATCTTTATTTACATGGAGAGTAGTCTTTGGCAGCAATTCCACTGATGATGAAGCGCTAATAGACATGAACAGCTAGTTTTGCTTGGCAGTTGGCAACTAAAATTAGGAGGTAGTGAGGTAGTGGTGGTGCAGCTGCAGCTGTCTCTACTCTCCATTGGCCACACAAAAATACCTGCAATTTGTTGTCACTTGTCAAGTACTCACTTGCATGTATCCCCACATACACACAGTACTTTGATTTTTCTTCCTTTTTTTTTCTTGTGAACAAACACAATTGTTCACCTGTTCTTTGATTGCATTGCATTGGCTAATAATAATAGTCACTTGCTTTTTAAGCTAAACCAAAAGCTAGCAAAATTGACATGTTCTGATGCAAATGGCACAGCTACATAACTAGCTAATTAATTCGATTGTTCTTGATCTCTCTAATCTGATACCCTAAGTAGTTAGTGGTCACACCAGTTTTGTATGTGATTTTTTTTTTCATTTCTTAGTTCACTGGATCTCACTAGCTTAGATTTGGTTTGGGCGATACTAATAGTTGCTGCTGCTGTGGCTGCACTGTCTCAATCAAGTAGGTCGTCCTCAAATTTAATTGCCACACCCTAACCACTGTTCCCGTACAATGTATTTGTACACGATGCGCGTCTACTTATCGCCTAAGAACCATACAACTTTCATACATACAGTAAACACTGACGTGGCTTAGCTGATAACTCAATTAACTACACCAAAGTAATTGAGTAGTTATACAATGCATATATCTAAATAGCAAACCTTAATTTCATCCAATTTTAATCCTTCAAGTTGAAGAAGCTAGTAGTGAAGACGATCTTTGTGTTATTGTGTGAGATATAAGTCAACGAGTGATCGAGGGAGGAACGGGTGGTGACTGGTTAGTAGCTGATTAATAGATGATTCTTGACGTGATGAATTGTTGTTTGTTGTGTGGGGCAACAAGGAACTTCATTAGAAAAAAGAAACAGAGTTTAATTAGTTTGGAGACCAATGCCAATTGGATATGATGCTGTGGTGTGGTGGGGGCAAGCAAGGCATCAGTTGGAAGCTGGTCTAGCTTAGCTAGATATAGCTTCCTTTCTCTCTCTAACACACTTCCTCTCTCTCTGGATCTCTCAACACTACACATGCATCTACACTTGCTGGTCACTCACTTGTTCTGCAATCCAAACTACCGAGGAAATTAATGATCAGATCAGTGGCTGCTACCTGCCTTTGTTTTCTCTTTGCCATACTTAAGCAGTGCAGAAAAGATAAGTGCCCTTGAGCTTGCCATGATCCTGCCCATGATTGGCAATTAGCCAAGTTGTCCCTCATGTGGAGAACCCTAGCTTTAAGGATCTAATTAGTGCATGCAACGCTAGTTGGACAACTAGTACCCCTGAACGTGATCACTTCTGTTAAGCTGACCATTATTTATCCAAAAGATTAACAAATCTTTGTATACACACGGCAAGCCACCTATCCTTCTCTTAAAAAAAAACAAAAACTTCTGAGAGCAGCTCAAATGTGCTGAGAGCTGATGTCATTGCCTGATCAAGTTAGCAAGGTAAGTTAATTAGAGAGTGCATGACACTCCTCTGGATAATAAAGCTTTAAGCAAGATTTGTTACTAAAACCTTGTGTGCTTTTGCCCTGGCCAAAGTGCTTAGTAGCATATTTCAAGTCACTATATAGGGATCTGTACCAGCAGTGATTCGGGCACACACCAATGAGACTGAGTTGGGGTGAATTAAGGAATCTGCCTGCCTGCACAGACCAAAAAGAACACAAATAATAAGTGAACAGAATAAAATCCAGGAAACACACAGTGGATTGGAATATACTAGAAGTGATGAAATGAAATATGTGGTGCAGTTGATGGACACCCACCAAGCACACATACCATACCAGCCATGGATCATCCAGCTGCCTGCATATATTGTTAAGTAGTAGTAGGATGGAGATGAGCTGCCTGACTGACCTGGCTCAAGTGGATGATGAGTGAAGCAGTAGTGGGACACTCGACAGTAGCAGCAGCACCATCCACAATCCATGTATAATTAGCAGGGGGATCACTGGCTGCAAGTGACTGGGCCACCACTCATCACGTCATACTCATGCTACTAGACAAGAGAGATCCAGTGAGACCACCAGTATAAACGACGAGATGATCACAAAAATTAAGGACTGTTCAGATGATTATCATGATGGACGGAAAAAAGAAGAAGAGAGAAAAGAGGAGAAGAAGTGTGACAATAAATGGAGAGACGAGATTCACTCCACATGACAACAGCTCCCCGAAGGATCCCAAGCAGAAGCAGCAGCTGTATCGTGCTGTCTGTCATGCTTGGAGAACCGTTAATCACGATGCATCATCAGGTTCAGGCCTCACTGACAGAGTGACAGACATGTCTTCTCCAAACAAACCTGCAGGCCCTCAAGTCAATTACTGGTAGTTGGTGTTACTACTAAGACGTACTTTGTGGATACACATGGCAATTGACACTTGTGCAGGGTAGCAAGGAGGACATAACCACACTTCCAACTTCCAAGCTAGGATGGGAATAATTCAATATGTGGCAGGATGATTCTTCAGACTTGTTGAGAAGCCATTGATCCATAATATGCCCCTGCTGATGGAATTGTATGATTGCCCCAAGTTAAATTAGTGGCGTGGAGTGAAGGGAGAGTCAATGCTTCATCACATAATAGATTGCTGTGGCTGCCACCTTAAGAGTGTGGCAAGTGTTGGCTTTGCTCATGGGCAACCACTCCTCACACACTGATTGGTGGGCAAACCTTATTCCGATGCCATGTGCTAGAATCATCTTTTGTTCCGTCTCAAGTCATGCCTCCTCTTTGCTTCCTGGCTGATGACTGCATGTTGCTAATTAAACTCAACCTCACACATGTACATTTTCTAATGATGTGGTACAAGTATGCACCGCCCAATGCTCCAAGAAACTTAACCACCTACTGCTGCTGACGGACACAAGCTTAATTGCTTCCTACAGATGCTTCTCCACTGGTGCATTAACTTAAGTAGTTAACTAAAAGTTCTCCAGCTCCATCAGTTTGCATCTTCATCCAACGAAATGGACGTCGCCACGGTAACAACCAACAAGTATTGGGCAAAAGTTAATTCTCACTGTCCTGTGAGAGATAGGGAAAAGAGGAAAACTGAGAATGAGCAAAGAGAATAACAAAATACTCCAATGCCTTGTACTAGCTACTAGCTCTTTGGAAAAAAAAAATCCAATGCCTTAATAGGCCATTGGTTTCTGAAAATAGTTAGTATTATTTTGGTTTATTTCCACTGTTGCTATTAAAAATCATTTATAATACTGTCGTTTGATTAGTCAACATTAATGTAAAGCTAAAAAAAGCTAATGGCCAAAGCTATATTTCAAAGACCACGAAAAATCGAGAACATCAAATAGAAAAAATAGGGAGGGAGTAATAGCTAAGTATTATCTTACATAAAGCAAGGAGACCGGAACCTTCAGGTTGCTCACAGCCAGTAGTAATTCTCCGTTCAGTACAACTCTTATCCAACAGTATAGGAAAATAGATTCCACGAAAAAGAAATGTGGGTCCCTGATAATGACTTGTAATGAATGTCAGATAATATCCGAAATAACCAGACCTTAGATAATATAATCCCTAACCTTTCTTTGCCATTCTTTTTGGAATAATAAGTCTGGAGTCTGGGATTTGGTTGAATCGACCATATAATAATAACACAGTGGTGCATATACAGCTTTAGCGAAGATAAAAAATGACCTGATCCCAAAAGTGCATCCACAGATTCTCCAAGATTCACACAGCAGTATCTTATGATGGAGATCAAATTCAGATTATCACCAGAGTTAACATGCTTGCCGAACTTGCAAGGTTATAGTTAGTTCGGTGACCGGCCAAACTATAATGCGTCTCTGGCAAGTTGGCCATCACTCACTCTCTTTGTAGCTCACTGCTCAGCTGATGAACACTTTTTGCTCGCACCACTGATAAGTAATGAAGACATCACCTTCATGGCCAATACTTTCTGCTGCAACCCAAGTGATGCTTCCAAAATTAGCAACTTTGGTAGCTACAGAGTCCCTGTTTATCGCACGCTTATCAGCTATCACATTATGCTCACATTTACAAATCTGCCACTGAGAGTATGTACTGCCGTACTGGCACTTAGTTTGCTAGCTGCAAAATGCAAATTGAAGAAAAAACTGTATCTGTGAATTTTCTTTCTGGTAAGAGAGTCGATACCATCATGACCCACCCCTCTAAGAACTAACATATCAGAAATGCATCCCTGGTTTCAATTCAACAGAAGGTCATCTTCTAGGTGCACAGTTGCCGTTCTAGACCATTCTATTGCCCTGCAACCTTTTCACTCATCTACTCATAGCTATCAACATATATACTATAAAGACATCGGTGTCTTGAGGCAGAAATTAGAATATCCACAAAGGATATCTAACCATTTTGCTAGCCACAAAAAACACACGGTGTCACATGTCCACACATAATCAGCTGAGCGACTAGTGTCACTACAGAGTGAAGTGGCTCTCTCTCCTCTCACTCCCTGCCACTAGGGAGCTGATAAGTGGCAAAAGTAGTAAGTGGTACTAGTAGCAGTAGCAGGTGTGGCACCAGAGCAGCAGGAGTACACGCTGAGGGTAGCAAGGGACAACAACAGGTAGCACCAATCCAAGCAGTAGTGGCTGTAGTGAAATTTGGACACTGTACGAGCATCAGCTTGTGGAAGCGAAGGAAAGAAAGCCTTTTTTCAGGAGAGGCTGGGATTGAGGCATATGAATGGTACCGTATTCGGTGTGACACTAGAACCAGAGCGTTCCCTGAGTGCGACGCTGCAACCAATCTCCTGCACTCACTCAAGCAACTTTTTTGCAAGGCCAGCTGATCTGCTTGGTCCCTGTGTTGTGTGCATGTGAAGTGTCAAAGTGTGAATCAGTGGAATCCATCTTGTGCACTAGGTCATCACTTCACTTCACTTCACTTAACTTGTGGCCTCATACCGGTCTCGTGACCACCACCATCCCTCTCCTTTTTACAACCATCCTTCTGCTTAATTTACACCTGTATTGTAGGTAAAATCATATTGTATTTATTTCATCTCTCAAAGAGATGATGTATTTATTTCAAGTAAGTAAACAAGAAAGAAGGAAATATATGTGTGAGCTTCCTAATTTCTACATAATACGCAAGCCTCACCCACTATAAGCCGTTGCTTGTCTATAAAAATATATAAACGGATAAGTCTGGGACTGGGATGGTTTGGTCTAGTCTGCCTACTTGTGTAGTAGAGGATTGTGCTCTTCAACGCAACTTGCTGTACCATCAACTTTAGATATATGCCTTTGGCTTGGGATGGATGTGTCGTGTTGAGTTGAGTTGAGTGGTGCTGCTCCTCTCGTCAATCTGTGGCCGCTCTCACCTTGGCTTACTACTACTTTATAGTCATTTCATATTTTTCATCCTGGGTACTGCAGGTGTTTTTTCAGAATCAATAGCCTCTAATCTGCACAACAAGTTTCATATACTCCTCTGTGAATATGTCAAATGACGTCTAAGGTGCTTTCAGCATCTTTGGTCAAAATCCTAGGGTGAAGAAAGGGGTAATCAGAAGTATTAATTGATCACCATCTTTTCTTCCCCCCATTTTTAAGATAAGATCACAAGTCCAATCATACTAGTAGTATACGTTTTTGTGTGTGTGTGTGTGTGTGAGAGAGAGAGAGAGAGGGAGAGAGAGAGCATAACGAAACTTGGATGCATGGGCCTCAAAGGGGGAAAAGAGCAGGCCCAGATTTAAAAGCCACTGTCAAGAACTAAGCCCAGCTCAGCTCGTCGATCAGAAGCTTTACAACCTAGAAGCTTTTCTACAGGCAATCAGCGATCTGCATGTACGGATATACCCTAGAACTAGTCAACTAGAATGGGAGGGACCAAGGGGTTTTGTGGTTCACAAGTCAGTTACTCTTATCTGGTTTTAACAATTATTTGTGTGGGGTCTATGTAGTCTGGGCACAATTGGCATTTTCGCATGGGCTTCATCTGGCAAGATAAAGACCAGGTGGAAACAGCAGAGTGAACAAATATTAACCCACATAAAAATCTAAATGTCATCGAATAGAGCATGCTGTGGATCAAACATGGCCAAATACATGGAAAGCTTTGGATGACTGAATGCACAGAACAGATAGAAGTAAACATACCTCCTTTTTCCTTGGCTTGGTAAATGTTTTGTGCAATAACCTGATAGGCACAAACAATATCAATGAAGTTAACTTCTGTGTTCATATGAACTTGCAGCAGTACATGCACAAAAATTGGTTTGATCACCATCTTTAATATCTCATTGCTTAAGCAGTGACCTGGAAAAGTATCACTCCCCCTCAGTATACTGACCTTGTATTGGCCATAAAGAAGTGAATAAAATTGCTGAAGTCCGTTCAGCCAATTCATTTTTGGTCCATTCAAATACAAAGACATGAACTGGAAAATTTCATATTGTTGCAACAAATCTGAAATATTTCAGCCAAGATCCAAATTACATGGTATGGTGTTAGGATGATAACTTATCCTCTGCTTTTACTATGGCAATGTAGGCACACATATGCACAGAAAATACAAAATCGCTTCTTTGTAGCAAAGTGTTGCGAAAAAACATTTTAACTTTGAATAACTGTACCCCTGAGTATCAATGTTTGTTATGTGGAAAAACATTGCAACTAAATATTTCATAAAATATATTTGGTTTTGTTTTTCCTGGACTCAACATTCATGATACACCACACTACCACCTAATTCAACACAAAACAAATGTGTAAGAACCAAACAGATAATCCACTTATAGCTGGTTCATTTTGTAGGCAAAGAAACTAATATAGAGTAACAGACAAGATAAGTTGTCATATTTCCCTTTTTTTTCTTTCCATTCAGTTCAGATAACAGTGAAACCATATGACACCAAAAATGGGGTTGGTTGGATTAGATATTACACAAAAACATGACTACCTGAAGAGTTCAGCTGTTATCAGGACTCCACCAGTCCCACTGATAATCCTGTGGTCCAGGCCAGGCAACACAAGTATGCAAAGGTCTCCACTGCAGGATCATGAACCATCTTCACTATCACCAATTATGATCCAGCTAGGCATAGGATTTCAAAGCAACTCTGAAATGCAATGGCAAAACATAAAGGACTATAAGGAAAATTAAGGTTTTCACAGGACCACAGATATAACCAGACCTTCATGGAAAAAGAACAGCATCTAGTAAAGTATGACCTGCAATGCAAGATTGACCCTGGATATGGCAATCTTTGATTGCTAATAGCAGATTAGAAGTTCTCAACAAAAAAATATAGCAAAAGTTCACCTAGCAGCTGTTGTTATGTTTAAATATGAAAGGGATCTTCGTTTCAAAAAATGTCCAAAGGCTACTCATGGTGCAACAAACATCATCACTTTCCTCATAGTACTAGAAAATTATTTGCAGTAAAGAAAAGAAATATTTTTGCAGGTAACAACTACTTCATAGCAGAAATTCAAAAGACATCTAGAAGGCCCAAGTGGGCAGAAACCAGTAAAGCATCATTTTTGGCAAATAGAATGCCCAAGTGAGCATAAACCAGCAAGGCATCATTTGGCAAATCAATGTGTAGAGTTCCACCTCCCCAAGACCCCAACAACAAATTGCATAAACTATAAGAATATTTGTATTTGTACCTGCAGCAACAATTATTGCTAAGGAGTTCTTAGTCTATCCAAATTTAGCACTGATATTTCAAAGAGCACAGTATTTTCTTTTCCAACTGGAACATCTTTTCCTCCATCTGGGTTGTGGATGCAACTGTGCAAGAATGTCTGCAGTGTAACATGTGTTACACATCCTTTAACCTCACGTACATTTAGTTTGTAGTAAATGGTACTTGCCACCAAATCATTCTCCAAGTGATGAGACTGCCCGGCCACTTACATGTCTAGATGCACTGAAGCAGTATATTTCCGTAAAATATGTATTCTGGGATTTCTGCTCTCTTGCAAGATCATACCTGCCACATTTCAAACATGCCACCCTATGAGATTACTGCAACAAACTTTTCAGAGAGCCAAAACGCTTGTCGAGGATTAGACAATAGAATCATTCAATCAGCACTACTGACCACCCTGACAAGATAAAGAAACATCTATATCTGGTAGATAAGAGACCAAACTTCGCATTTTAAACTCTGTAAAGGTTTTTAAGTAAACGTTGAGCTTGCCATGTCATTCCTGGTTTTGAGAATGCTCTGCATATAAAACTAAGAGTGCCTTTAGATGGACTGAATCCTTTTTCTTTCATATCTTTGAGACATTTTTTCACCTCAGTTCCATTTCGAATCCTTGACCATCCACTTACAAGGATATCATAAGTACAGGATGTAGGATGAACACCTCTCTTTTGCATATCCTTGAAGAGCTCTTTAGCTTGAGTCATCATTCCTGCTTTAGTGAAGTCACTTATAAGAGCATTATAAGTGCTTACTTTAGGAACAAAGCCCTTTCCCACCATTTCACAATACAATCTCATTGCTTCGACTTTGTTGCTTTGTTTTCCATGTCCTGTAGCCAGTATGTCATAGGTGAGATTATTGGGTTCAAGCCCACTCTTCTCCATCTCAATGAGCACGGTGCCTGCTTCTCCGATCCTTCCAACAGACTCAAGACCACCCAGAAGCGTGTTGAAAGTAGCTATATTTGGTGAAATGTTTTGGTGAAGCATCTGAGCATATGTAGCAAATGCATTATCTAGATGGCTGCTCTTGCAATGACCAAGAATAAGAGCATTGAATGTGATTGTGTCTGGGGCAATTCCACTCCCCAACATTTCTTCCAGAACAACTGTGGCTTTTCTTGTCATGCCATGGTAACACAGAACTTGCAAAAGCGTATTGTATACGGTGATATCAGCATGAAGCCCAGCATTCATCATCCATTCATGAATATCCAGAATCACATCCAACCTCCTGCTTTGTGAACATGCTTGCAAAACCCGTCGATGAGTCAGAGAGGATGGAGAGAATCCAGCTGAGACCATCTCATTTAGCAAATACTTTGCCTTCTCCACTGCCCCAGTCCCAAAGAGACCAGCAACCAGTGTGTTGTATGTGATGAGGTTAGGCTTTATGGAGCTCATCTTCATTTCATGAAGGAGTTTTAGAGCTTTAGCAGTCTCTCCTTTCCTGCAATGCGAAACAATCATAGTGTTATATGTTGATTGATCAGGTTTTAATCCCATATTTCTCATCTCTGTCAAGAAGGATTTTGCTTCCTTAAACTTCCCAAGCATGCAAAGGCAATTGATAAACACATTATAAACAACTGCATCGGGCAACATGTTTCTGTCCATTAACTCCTGACCAAACTTAAAAGCAGTAGGCATGTCGCCTGCTTTGAAGAGCCCATCTATTAAAGTGGTATAGTTTACGTGATCTAGTGACAGGCCACTCCCACTCGCATCTTTGAACAATGCCATGGCTTCCTCTATTTTTCCGTTCTGTCTCAAACCATTCACCAGAGAATCAACAATGAATTTATTTACCTTGACACCCTCACATAGCATGTCATGGTACACCTCAAGAGCTGCATCTTGCCCTTGGAACTTGAAGAAACCATCAATAAGTGTTCCGTAGGTCACCACATTTGGATTGATGCCCCTTTCCTTCATCATCCTCTTATACTCAGTTGCTTTGTCAAGCAATCCTCTTTTAACAAAGCCGTTGATGACCGATGAGAACGTAACAACATTTGGACTGATCGATTTCTCCTCCATTTCCAGCAACACCTGCTCTGCCTCATCGACGTTGTGAGCTTTGCAGAGAGCGTCGATCAATACAGTGTATGTAACACCATTGGGGGAGAGATTATCTGAAAGAGCAAAACGAAGTGTGTCCTTTACTTCATCAGTCTTGCCTTGTTTACCCAACCAGTCCATCAAAGCAGTATAGGTGACCAAATCCATGACCACGCCTCTAGAAACCATCTCCCCCAACAGGCTGAGCAACTCCTTGCCCCTCCCAGCTTTCGCCAGCGAGTCAATAAGCGTACAGTAGGTGACATGGTTTGGCGCAGCCCCAACCTTGTCCATCTCCCTGAAAAGAGCATACGCCTCCGAGAAGCGGCCATCCCTACAAAGTCCAGCAACGAGAGCGCTAAGCGTGACCACATCCAGCAGCACTCCATTCCTGACCATTCCCTCATACAAATCGAATGCCTCCTCGACCCCTTTCGTCCTGCAGTAGTACACAATGAAGGGTGTGTAGGTCGCCACATTCGGATCAACCCCTGCCTCCTTCATCATGTCCAGCACGCCCCGCGCAGCATCAACCTGGCCGGCGCGGCAGAACCCGGCAACCAAGGTATTGTAGCCCACCACATCCATTGGCAGCCCCTGTGCCGTCATCCTGTCGGCCACGGACAATGCTGCGGGCGTGTCCCCAACCCTGCAATATCCAGCAATGAGAGTGTTCCAGCCGATGACATCCAAGGCGTGGATCCCTCCGCCCCTGTCGGCCAGGGCCGCCGCCGCGTCGACCTGGCCATTCCTGCAGAGCCCAGCGAGCAAAGTGTTGACGGTGACCCCGTCGAACGGCACCCCGCGCTTGCACATTTCGGCGAGCACCGCGGGGGCATGGGCATGGTCGGAGAGGGCGGCGAGAAGGATGTTGTAGGCGACGGTGGTCGGGCGAGAGGAGCGGAGGAGCGCGATGGCGGGGCGGAGCAGGCGGAGGCGGCAGTGGGAGTAGAGGAGGGCGTTGAGGGAGGCGGGGTCGGCGGGGCGGAAGCGGATGGCGGCGGCGGCGAGGCCGGAGGTGGCGAGGGCGGGGATGAGGCGGCGGAGGAGGAGGGGGGCGGGAGGGGAGGGGAGGGAGGAGAGGAGGTGGGAGGCGGCGGAGAGGCGGCCGGCGCGGAGGAGGGCGATGGCGAGGGAGCAGAGGAAGGAGGCGTGGAGGCGGAGGGTTTCGGATTCAGGCGGGGGCGCCATGGCCGCCGCCGCGGACCACCACTAGCAGCAGGTCGCTGATGAGTAGTGAATTTTTTTTCATTTTTAAATTTTTTTCTTTTAATATTTACGAAAATAATCTATCGGCACAAAAAATTACAAAAATAGACCCTGCCGCCCTAATGGAGGGGCAAGCTGACGTGGCAGACGATGTCGAAATTTGCATTTAGCCCCTTGCCGAGCGGCAAGGGGCTAAATGCATTTTTCGCAGCCCTAAAGAGCATTTGGCTCGTACTTTTTTTTCATCTGAGTCCCTTGCCACCCTACTAGAGAGCGGCAAGGGACCCAAATGCAAAAAGTACCAGCCAAAAAGTACTAGGCCTGGGCTGGCTTTTTTGCATGGAGGCCCCTTGCCGCCCTAACAAAAAAAACCCTCCCTCTCCCGTCTGTCATCACCGCCCGTCCCTCCCCCGTTTACCACGTCAGCTTGCCGCTCTAGTGGAGGGCGGGAGGGTCTATTTTTGTAATTTTTTTTTTTTGCCGATGGATTATTTCTGTAAATATTAAAAGAAAAAAATTTAAAAATGAAAAAAATTCGATGAGTAGTAGGGCTTCTCTCTGGGCTTCTTTCGGGCCTGAACGCTTAAAGCCCGAAACCAATAGTGGGCCTTTTTAACTCTCGCGGAGTTGGCCAGTAACCTGTTGATGGGCTGGACCTTGGCGCTGACGAGAATGGCCCATACTGTCTTCGGCCTAGCCCATAGCACTTTCAGACCAAAAAAAGGAAGACTAGGGGCAAATCCAAATGCCCCCTTAATTCACTGGTGTTTCTATATTTTCCCTTACCACTCAAATTCATGCACAAAACTCAATCCAGGTCAATTTCTCTTCTAGCTTTCCCCTGATATCCCGTTTTCATATATTTTCCCTAGTTATTTCAGTTTCTAGTGTCCCATAGACCTCCATCTTTTCGAGTTGAAAACTGGATATGGCAGAAGTTTGAAGAAAATTTGACTCATATGAGTAGGGGAAGTAGAAATGCAAGTGATTTCTAAGGGGTATTTGGATTAGGTCCACCTGAGAAGCAGAGTAGAGCTGAAATTTTGATTGCCCATTTGTTGATCAGCCACGATCAATTCTTCAATTCTGAAATTAAATTTTAGGGTTCATTTCGATTATATTCTATCGTGATCGATCTATCACTTTTAATTTTTAAACTACCAATAGCACATGTATAAGAGTTTTATCCATATGTTTTTTTTATCAAACCTATCCAATCTAAGGCTCCATTTGAACACTTGTTTAGCTTTTGCAGCTCCTCATTTACTGTGAGTATGTTTCCTAATCTGTTAAACGACATGTTCTTTGCAAAAGCTTTTTATATATTTTTTAATTTATAATAGTTAATACCTGATCGATCATATAGTAATTAATATTATTTCTCGTTTCGCATGCGGAAAAAAAACAAAAACTAAACGTGGTTTCAAACAGAGAGCAAGCAGCCAAGCATGCACGTAGCTTGGTGGTTGATCGATCTGAAATTGTGAATGGGGTACAGTAATAAACCTGATGATAAATGTGGTGTGTGCTTGTATCTGAAAAAAGTGAAGAAGGCCCGGTGACATGAAAAATGATGGGACAGACAGAACTAAGATGCATGATCGATGGAAATGTGAAACTGATCCATTATTATTCCAGCCGAGATCTATCGCATGCAATTGTAGACCACTTTATCAAATTATTACCGACAGTTAGCTCTTCACAGTCTTCATGTGCATGCATTGCTGTTCATTATCTAAAACAAAAATGTGCATGTCGCGTTGAGTTGATCGATCACAGTACAATATGCATGCATTACGCATGCTTAATTTGCCTGCCTTATGCATGCATGCGCTGTTTAACTTTTTTATGATCTTCTTTTTCTCTGATCCGTGTGCTAATCGATACAGTGTATGACATTTGTCGTTTGTAAAACGCACGTGGTTTATCTTTGTACTGATCTGTTGGGTTTTTATCGTTTTGAAGAGAAATAAAACATAGCCGAATGTACTCGCTCCGTCCAACTAAGAGGCAAAAAAAAATTGAATTCTAGTAAAAGGTCCCCCCCAAAAAAAAAAGAAAAGAAAAGAAAAAACGGTACGATGTTATATTATATTACTACCACAAAGATGCAATATACAGTACCGGCTGGAGTAGTAGTAAGAAACTATGGGTTGAACTCTTAGTGACTAGTGAGTCAAATTTTAAACTCTAGAATTGTAAATCTTTTTCAAATGGAGAAAGTATATGAGAATGTTTAGATAAGATTCTAACATGTTGAGTTGTGATCCAAATTCATTTGCACTTAATAAAGGCCAGCTTCTGCCGTAGTGGAGCGGAGGCCCGTCGCCGGGAGGCTTGGGCCCATCCCTTTTGGGGTTCCACCATATATATACCTCTTGTAAGCCGCCGTGCGGCGATGTAACCTCACCTCAGATATAGTAAAGATATTTTACTGGCTGGCGCCCGTGGTTTTTTCTCTCCTGTTTTGGGAGGGTTTTCCACGTTAAATCTCGTGTCTTCTATGATTGATCTATTGTTTTTTATCGTTTGTTCGCTTATCGTTTCCTAACATAACATATGTATAGCTGCTCCAAATAATTCAACTTATCGTTTCGATTCAAAGAAGTTAATTGTAGAGTTTTAAAAAATAAAGTAAAAGTTAAAAGCTAATTTTCTATTAAATGCTTATCAAAATATAATTAAAGTTTTCCCGAACTGACCGTATATTAGCCACGGACAACATGGCAGCCGACAAACTATTATTAATGTGATCATTGCATATATATATATATATATATATATATATATATATATATATATATATATTTCAAAATAATTAATCTCAATGTTATATTAAAAGAAAAGTAAAGGGAAAGGGAAAGGGGCAATATAATAGAGGCGGTCAAGCTAATTAAGGTCGGTAGGGAGGACCAAGTTAAGTGATGATCACCACGTGTCAACGCTGACCGCGTCCATGTCAAAATCATCCGCTCACCACTAGTAGAACCACTAGTAGTGGATCGATCGCTTCATTCAGATAGCCAGCCGCCCAGGCCAAGTTCCACTTTAATTTCATCCGTTTTTAGTCATGCATGGCCATGGAAAATATATAGCTTGCGTACTCCCTTTAATTTGTTACGTGGAATATATATATATACCTACTAGAGAAATATGACACATCACAATTTAAACATGTTAGTACACACATCACAGTACTATAAATTTAAACATTGTAGTACGAGATATGATATATCCTAATAATATAAATCTAAACATACATCTTGAATATGTATTTCTAAGATGTATCACATATCATACGTATTAGGTTTATTTTTATGGGATAGAGGGAGTATACATATTAGAATACGTACGTGGATTATATTATATGATGGGGAAGATTGATTTTTTTTTTAACTTTTGTGTTGGACGTTTTAAAAAAGAAGAGTAGTTTTATTGGGATCATCAGCCACGTTTGTTTTAAATACTGACTCAAAACAATATCTTTCTGAAGGCCTGTTTAGTTCCCCAAAATTTTTTCTCAAAAACATCACATCAAATCTTTGGATACATGCATGAAGCATTAAATATAGATAAAAAGAAAAACTAACTGCACAGTTATGGGGAAAATCGCGAGACGAATCTTTTAAGCCTAATTAGTCCGTGATTAGCCATAAGTGCTACAGTAACCCACATATGCTAATGACGGCTTAATTAGTCTCAAAAGATTCGTCTCGCGGTTTCCAGGCGAGTACTAAAATTAGTTTTTTCACTCGTATCCGAAAACCCCTTCCAACATCCGGTCAAACATCCGATGTGACACCCAAACATTTTCATTTCCTCACCTAAACACACCCTGATTATACCTCCTGAGGAGGACCATATATGCGGCCATAGAATAATTTATATAGAGTACTTCCAAGCACTTTGTCATTTTGCTACTAGCTAACTAAAATATACTATACTCCCATATTTTGGGCACGCGACCCATATGCATGCACACGAGTGCATACAATTCTGTGTTTTATTTAACTTTTGGTCAACTAGCCGCAACTCCATAAATTCGGTCTGAAATAGTAGCGCGTATATATGATCGTCTTCAACATACAATATATAATTACCCCAAAAAGATTGATCTATACCAAAAGATTGAAAAAAAAAACACTAGAAGCTGATATCTGTGACGAGCGCAAGCATGGCCGTTAGGGTGACACGAGTGATCGATCGATCGAGTCATCGAGAGACTGAGCATGCACGCATGGGAAATGTTTAATTTAAACTGTATAGTAGGCAGCTCAAAAAATCCATAAAAATTAAAAAAAATACAGAAAAAAATACATATGCAGGCTATTCGTACTAGGATTGTTGGACTTGAGTTGCCGGCCAAGTTTTGGAGGCGCCGCAAATCTCAGAAGTATGAATTGAAAGCTGCTGCCTACCAGGCTACACAGTTCTTGCGCTGCCTCTTTCACATGAGCTATCTTAATTAATTATTCGTCGCTACAGTCTCTGCCTCCAATTTCATCTAGAAGTACGTTGCTGTCCTAATTAACATATACTGTACGTATATAATTATATGTGCAATACTACTCCGTCCACGATTGACTAGTACTGATTGACATCATGAAAAAGATCATTTGTGTCATATGTTAATATGCATCATGCCCCCTTCAATTCAACACCATATCATCTTAATGACTTTCTCGGATTTAATGCATGACACTCCATTCTTCCACACAAGATTGGCTACATGGGCATCGAGAAATGTAAATATTAATGAATCGCTTATTTACGAGGAATGACTATTAGTATGTTTAAATAGTTGATAAGTAGAATTACTTATCCTTGGTCTGTGTGCCAAGATAAAATATGACTATCAAAAATAGATGGAAGGAGTATATATCATAATGATGAGAAATCTCGATCGGTACAAAACGGGGAACACATGCATGGAGATATATCTAGACCAACAAGTACGTACAGAAATAAACTTCTGTCGAGGATGTACTTGAACATGAATGTTTGCTTGATATTGTTATTTAGCTATATTTTAGAATACTTTACAAATGGAGGGATGAATTGCAAGTACACCCTCTAATTTAAATTAGATTAAATTAAACACATGGTGAAATAGGAATAGTTAGGAAGCTAGGCAGCCGTAAATTAACCTAAAATGTACATATTGATAGAAGCAAGGCATAGTCATTTATGCGTAAAGGTAGGCACCGACGACTACAGTAGACGAAATTTTGGGGGTGGACGGAGAGTTAATTATTTTTCCGTTATATATTTGGTACATATATAGGTAATTAATTATGTGGCGGTTTATATAAATAAATAAATAAATAAAGGGAGATGCATGCAGTATGAAATAGGCAAAGGGAGGCGAGGAGAAATACGGCATGCATGTTGACCGGAAGGCATACACATACATATGCAGAAAAAGGAAGGACGGAAAAGAAAAGATGCATGGCGGAAAGGGAAAGGCCCGACGAATGGGAGGAATCATATATTCCATCGATTAGAGCAAGTTTAATAGTAAGTTCAATATCAACTATCGAATCAACATATATAAGTACAGTAGTTGTAAGGTTATTTTTAATTTTTCTTCTCCTCTCTTTTTCTCTCACTAATGTATTTATATTAGAGCAGCTAATAATTAATTGTTGTTGCATGAGAGCCAACACGTACGTTTTCTTTTATATATTTTTTCTTTTACATAATAAGTTTATAGTGTGCTTATACTACCTCATTGTATTATGTTTGCTCTTAATTAAGGCATTAATTAAGGTGGACGGAGAATCGGAATGGATTGATGCGATGCCTCCACTGGGGGAACCTCCCTCTTCTCTGGATGCTTTTGCTGTGCCGGCGCCGCGTGGTTCTTCGTTTCGTTTGTCTCGCCATCTCTTAATTCCTTACGTTGACCATTATTTAAGCCTCAAAATCATCTGTAGCTTAGCTTGTTCAAGGAGGCCGCGTCCCGCGTGCGTGCGTCTGTCGCGGTCGCGGTCGATGCCATGCTATGCTAGCATCACCTGTCAAGCACGCACGCATGCAGTTGATCCAGTCAAACCCCACAATCTCCTCAGGCCTCAGCTCTCCATCCATCTATATATACATTAACACCACAACACCCCTTCCCGCTCATACCATCCATCCAACCATCGATCGATCACTTCCAACTTATTTTCTTTAAGAGAAACAACAAGCTTAAGCTAGCTAGTTAGTCATCTTGTTAATTTTGGCCTCAAATAGGTCTAGAATTCATCAAGAACACGAGCTAGCTAGCTGCACTGTCTCGCTATATATATATATACACTGCTCATATGGAGCTAGTGGTGCAGGCTTTGGCGGCCGCAGCTGCCCTCCTCGCCGTCTTCTTCCTCTCCACCTTATACCTCTCGCCGGCGGCCACCGCGCGCCGCCTCCGCAACGCCGGCTTCCGCGGCCCGACCCCTTCCTTCCCGCTTGGGAACCTCCGCGAGATCGCCTCCTCGCTCGCCTCCAACAACGACACCGACGAATCCAACACCAAGGGCGGCGACATCCACGCCGCCGTGTTCCCCTACTTCGCGCGGTGGCGGCGGGCGTTCGGCAAGGTGTTCGTCTACTGGCTCGGCACGGAGCCGTTCCTGTACGTCGCCGACCCTGAGTTCCTCAAGGCCGCCACCGCCGGCGCCCTCGGCAAGCTCTGGGGCAAGCCCGACGTGTTCCGCCGCGACCGCATGCCCATGTTCGGGAGGGGCCTCGTCATGGCGGAGGGCGACGAGTGGGCTCGCCACCGCCACATCATCGCCCCGGCCTTCTCCGCCACCAACCTCAACGACATGATCGGCGTGATGGAGGAGACGACGGCGAAGATGCTGGGCGAGTGGGGCGACATGGTGGCGTCGGGGCGGAGCTGCGTCGACGTCGAGAAGGGCGTGGTCCGGAACGCCGCCGAGATCATCGCCAGGGCCAGCTTCGGCATCTCCGCCGACGACGACGACGCCACCGGCGCCAGGGTGTTCCACAAGCTGCAGGCCATGCAGGCGATTCTGTTCCGCTCCACCCGCCTCGTCGGCGTGCCGCTCGCCGGCCTCCTCCACATCCGCGCCACCTACGAGGCGTGGAAGCTGGGGCGGGAGATCGACGCGCTCCTGCTCGACATCATCGAGTCGCGGCGGCGCCGAGAAGGCGGCGGCGGCGGGAAGAAGAAGAAGAAGACGACGTCGAACGACCTGCTGTCGCTGCTGCTGGCCGGGAGCGAGGCGAGCGCGGGGGCGGAGAGGAAGCTGACGACGCGGGAGCTGGTGGACGAGTGCAAGACGTTCTTCTTCGGCGGGCACGAGACGACGGCGCTGGCGCTGTCGTGGACGCTGCTGATGCTGGCGGCGCACCCGGAGTGGCAGGCGGCGGTGCGGGAGGAGGTGGTGGAGGTGGCCGGCCGGTCTGGCCCCCTCGACGCGGCGGCGCTGGGGAAACTCACCAAGATGGGGTGCGTGCTGAGCGAGGTGCTCCGGCTGTACCCGCCGTCGCCGAACGTGCAGAGGCAGGCGCTGCAGGACGTCGTGGTGGTCGCCGGCGACGGCGAGAAGAAGGTGGTGATCCCGAAGGGGACGAACATGTGGATCGACGTGGTGGCGATGCACCGGGACGGCGAGCTGTGGGGGGAGGAGGCGAGCGAGTTCAGGCCGGAGAGGTTCATGAGGGAGGGGGTGCAGGGAGGGTGCCGGCACCGGATGGGGTACGTGCCGTTCGGTTTCGGGGGGAGGATCTGCGTGGGGCGAAACCTGACGGCGATGGAGCTCCGGGTGGTGCTGGCCATGGTGCTCCGCCGCTTCGCCGTCGAGGTGGCGCCGGAGTACCGCCACGCGCCCAGGATCATGCTCTCCCTCCGTCCATCCCATGGCATCCAACTCCGCCTCACCCCCCTATGCTAGCTAATTAATCATATTATTCATAGTTAATCACTCAATTATGTTTTGTTTGTGCATGCATGCATGCAAAGGCAAAGCAATGCATCTGCATGCGTGCGTGCGTACGTACGTATACTGGTGACCAGTATACATGTAGTCGTATATACACTAATACCATGCATGAATTAATACTAGCTAAAGCTTGATGCTTTAAGCTTTAAGCTGAGCTGTGTCATATGAATGAATAATTGAATTGAATCGATCTGCCGGATGGTTATTAACTTATTACTGCTCTCTCTGTTTCATATTTGACTTTTTTTTCTAAATTCAAATTGAACTAAGTTTATCCAAAAACAAAGTAATTAATGTTTTGAATGCCGAACAAATATATTATCAAAATATATTTATTGTTAAATTTAATGAAATTAATTTAATGTTATAAGAGTTGTTATATTTTTTCTATAAACTCAGTTAAACACTTACAGAAGTTTGATTTTTTTTAAAAAAAATCAGAGTATCTTACGATATAAAAGGGATGGAGTACTATGTCCATGTTTAAATATATTTACGACGCTGCTAATTTTATATATGTGGTTTCTATGTGCAGCTTTGACAATAATTTTCTCTAATAAATTACTAAAGTATCAACTGTGGATCGGAAGTAATTATAAAAGAAGAATCACCTATATGATTTTTATGTTTCAAATTTGAATATATATTTTAAGAACTATTGATAGTCAAAATTTAAAGAGTTTGATTAAATAAAAATTATCATTGTGTGCATAATACGTAATAGGTGCAAAAATGCATGTGTGTACGCAGAACGGCCGATGATACATATCTCAATCGATATGGCACATGGTCATATATATGTATACATGGCCACGACGACATTCATAAATTAATATATACACGTGTGGTTATAGTAACTAATTAACTTGGTGCTTAGCAGCTAGCACGCACTATAACTAGCTATTAGCTAGCTGATGTACGTACATCTCGATCCATAAACTATGCGTGTTTGCATTTTGGTATTACGTGTTAATTTGGCGGTGTTGGTGCGTTAGTAACCACCACAAATTTGACCATGAACAGGCTGCCCAAAAACGGAAAGAAAATTCGATCCGTACTACGTACGGTCCAAACGAAACGGGACTTATATATTGTGAATGCTAGCTGGCTACCTGGGCGATCGATGACTTCATCAGTAATGAAGTACTAGTACTACTCCTACATACTAATACATTACTAACCACTTCTTCTGATTTTTAATGTTTTGACTTTAGTTGAATTTAATTCAGACATATGTTTGTCATATCACAACAAAATAAAAATGTTCAAATGCATATTAAAAAAAACAACGGAGTCAAACCGGAGAAAAGATAAATATATAGTCTAATGTATATTCAAAAATCAACGGAGTTGAGCATCAGTACAACTGGATGGAGTATCTTAAGCTAGTGGTGTTTAGTTTTCTTCATTGTTTTCTTATGCCGCTGCTTCCTAGTAACTTCAAAAATCAACTAATCTGTTCCACGCGTGCCTATGCATGCCATCTCAAGAATTAGCTAATGTCAAATTAGTCTTTGATCAAGCAGAGAGATGCATGACTGGCTGAGTGAGCAAGCATGCTGGTTGGACGTACGCATGTTGTTGCCTAGACTTCTGGAAATGATTCTTGGATGCATGATAATTAAGAGAAACTTTAAGTTGAAAAGGTACTTTTATTATTCCAAAAAAAAGGTACTTTTAAGTAGAAGAGGTTAACTTTCATAGCAACTTGCAGCTGCGTGTGGTGTGGATGCCGGGTCAAATGTACGTTCATCTAACTAGCTACATACCCGGCTTGCTTCCGTGTTAGAAAGAAAACGGATGGATGTCCACCCGGGAGATTAGAATCTATCTTCAACGAATAATGTAGAAATGTCATCCAAACAAAAAAAATTCCACCTCATCTGTTCTTGTTGAGAATGGTTATATGTACTGTGCTGGAGTTTTAAAACTGTTAGATCATCTGAACTTTCATTCCATCTCTATTTTGTTTCTGGAGGAAAAATGGTGGCTTGAAAAAAAATGAAACGGAATTTTTGAAATATGTTATCATCATCTCAATTAGATGAGGTAAAAAAAATGGGATGAGGTGGAGGGAAAAAAATGTATAAATAGAGTGAAACAAAATTAAAAAAAGAGAAGAGAAAAACAAATGTAAAAATAGATTGAGATAAGAAAATTGAAAAATAGATGAGGTAAAAATGTAAAAAATATATTGAAATAAAAAAATTTAGATTGAAACAAAATTAAAAAAAGGGAAGGGCCCATCCGGGTTCGAACCGGAGACCTATTGATCTGCAGTCAATTGCTCTACCACTGAGCTATGGACCCTTGTATGGTCAGTTGTTGGATAGTAACTACATATTTAAGGAAAAATGGGGCCAGCCACATCAGACACAAGTGTGGTGGTTGGTGTGGACGCCTCGCCGCCGTTGTGCAAGAGAGTACGGCCGCCGCATCTTTTCCTTCCATCTTTCTGGTGTTCTCCACACAGCTAGTGTCATATTATCATTTTATTTCGCATGCAGCTGCTCATTTTAGTACTAGAGCCGAGTTTAGATCAAACTTTCAAACTTCCAACTTTTCTATCACATTAAAATTTTCCTGCACATACAAACTTCTAACTTTTCCGTCATATCGTTTCAATTTTAACTAAACTTTCAATTTTGACGTTAACTAAACACACCCTAGGAAACGACTCTCACCATCCTATCCCCTTCTGCCAGCTGAAAAGAGAGAAGGAAGAACACAAACTAAGCTAACTACCCAATCCATCCTAAGACGTAAACATTTAAAATATGTGACATTGTATAGCGAGAGGTTATAATTGATTAAGAAGAGAAAATAGATAGAAAAATCAAATAGGGGATAGTTGTGAGTTGTAACTAGTTCAGATGAAAGGGATAGGTTAAGAAATACCTTACATTTTAGAGAAAAAAAAGTTTCAAAAATAACTATATTTTGGAATGGAAAGAATAGTTTACACCATGCACCAATCATGCATCTGCTAAAGGAACTTGCGGCCTCATCTTTTCACTTATACTTATGCTTATCAGTCAAAATTTGAAATTTCAATCTTAAATTTTAAGTTGATTTTAAGGTTTTTTCATCGAAGTTTATTTTTCAGCCTTTGCTTTTACATAGATAAGAGTACGTATATAAAATTTTTGTTCACTTTTTTTTTTTGTAAATATACCGTTTCGCGATGGGTCTGATGATATATCCAAAGTATGTATAGCCTATATCCAATCCAACACGAGGTCGGTCGGTCGGTCGGTCCGGTGGTCACATAGTGCGGCACCGGCAGCAGCATTACAATCTCTCTCGTGTCTCGTGCATCCAGTTGACAAACGCAAGAACAGGCCAGCCAAACTAATTGACTCTTTATCACCTCTATCTTTCACTGTTTACTTGTAATAGAATGTACTTGAACTTGACATTGCCGTCCTCCCTTGTGTTTAGTTAGTACAGAGGAGGCATAGATAGATAGCATTGGCTTGACAGACTGCGATTGATGTGTGTCCATTATTCTTCATTTCTTCTACCTTGACAACTGCTTGACAGTTGACAAAACATTGCTCCTTGCTCCTTGCTTCCATTTGTCGGATGATCAGATCACTGCATCCCATGGTTTTCAACCCAACCACCGTGTTCCTTTCTTTCGGAGCCCACAGGAACAAGCAACCTCCCTGCTTCTCTTCAGATGCATTCCTTTTGTCTTCTAACCAACACGAGCTCCAGTACCTAAGATATACTCCGTCCCAAAAAAAAAAAAAAAGTCAAACCCTAGGTATGAATCTGGACATGATATCCAGGGTTTGCCTTTTTTTTGGAACGGAGGAAGTAGTATATAACTAGTACTCTCTCGATTTTGCTTGCAATGTTTGACTATTCGTCTTATTTAAATTTTTTTTACAAATATACAAAACAAAAAGTTGTTCTTAAAATACTTTGGATAATAAAGTAAACCACAAAGAAAATAAATAATAATTCTAAAATTTTTTGAATAAGACGAATGGTCAAACAGTGCAACCAAAAACTCAAAATCCCAGGAGTACATAGTACAATGTTTTCCATGATAAAGATGCATCATGGCTAAACAAGTCCATAAACGCCACTGCAATACCATGGGCTATTCACCTTTCTTTTATTTTCTTGAGTTGATGAGCTCACTCAAGTCTGAACTGATACTACTTTTATAGCATCTTAAAAAGCTAAACTTAAGCAGTGTAGTAGTGCAAATTAAATGGACGATCTTCAGGTACCAACTCAATAATAAATCCCCAGGTTCTTTTTTCTTCCTCTATATAATATAATAGGGTACGATCCGGATCCTTCATTCTCATACAACACCGCAGATGCAGATGCAGCAGATTCACAGTACACCACCATAACATTCATATTCTAATACTTAGTATGTAGAGGAGTTCCTAACATAGCACTGACATATACCTCAGCATCCAGCAACATCATTTCTCAAACAACTCTCTTCCTCTTACACCTACAGCAAGTTAGCGCATCGCGTTGCATTGCATGCTACCAAGCGCACTCACGGGGATTCGGGGAATTCCGTCAGTCAGAGATAGATATATAGGTGGTGCTCCTTCCTTCCAGCAATAATACACATTACTCGCGAATAGAGTTGATGTCGATGTTTGGAGTTCTTGAGTCCATCTGCCTCATCAACCCAGCCGACCATCCACCCATCGTATGATGCGGCATGTTGTGATCTGGCAGTGCCATTGTGGGGGTCTCCTCCTCACCGCCAATTGGCTCTTCGTTATTCTCCGTCTCTTGCTCAGCTTTCGCTTTATTTTTCTTTGTCCCACCATACATGAAGCTCCCCACTATCACCTATTTCAACCAAAAAAAATATAAAACAAAATGCGTAAGAACCAAACCAAACAGATATACACAGAAAACAGTGCATAACCTACTCATAACTGGTTGGTTACTTTGATGGGCAAAAAAGCTGATACAGGGTAACAGACAAGATAAGCTGCCATGTACCCCTTTTATTCAGTTCAGATAACAGCCAAACCATATGACACCAAAAGACCGAGATTGGTTGGATAACATAGCATATACAAACATGACTACCTGAACAGTTCCAGCTGCTGTCAGGACTCCACCTACACTCCCACCAATAACCCTGTGGTCAGGGCCACACAGAGCTATGCAGAGGCCTCCACTCCGGGTTCGCGAACCACCTTCCTCTATCACCAAATATGATCCAGACAGGCACAGGATTTCAAATCGACCCTGCCAAACCAATGGTAAACATAAGGGCCTATAAAGAATTAAGCTAGGCACAACAAGACCTACATTGTAAACTATGACCTACATTGCAAGTTTGACCATGGATATGGCAATCTTTGACTGCTAAAAGAAGTTCTCTACAAAGATAACTATGGAGCAAAAGTTCATCTAAAAGCAGCATCAAAGCCTTTTACTCAATTGAGGAACTATGGAAAATCCAAAATGAATGGAGACAAGTTGATTACCATTTCTAATGCAGCTCAGCACATGCAATAAGTATGGGTCAAAAAGAGGGATAAGAGGTTTAGTTTACCATTCTGAGTCAAAAGCAGGATAAAGGATCTTTTGCTATACCCAAGAGTGAAACATGAGGACAAAAGCATGAATATGGAAGTCCCGGCTACAATAATACTAAGAATCAAACAGGCCTACAAGCAGCGTACCTCATATGTAACCACACCACCAGAGTTTGAATCCTGATGAAGGGTTGCTGTGGATACAGCTCCTGTCGCTGAGATGATGCACACTGCCCTTGGGCCCTGTTGTGAGAAGGACATTATCCTGGCAGCAACATCCTGCATGGGATAGGAAAGCTATACTCACAGAACAACAAGGCATATATAACAACATGAAAAACTGTTTTTCATTTCCAGAGACTAACAAAAAAGATCAGATCCACTGTAGTTTTGGATCTTAATTAGTTTTTTTTTTTAGAACTCATGTTAATTAGTTGGCATCCATCAGTTATCAGGCAAAGAATTGTAGTTCTTGCATAGGACTACTATGAGTTAAGACCACTGACTCCAAAAGATGAATCATCAACAGCTAAAAAGTACACCTTTGTAGGTTTGCACAACACACAGATGCTAGTGCAGCCTGAGACTACCAAATGATACTTAACTGTATATCCCAACTACCAGTTGTATACTGATGGGGGAAGCCACTACATGCCAATGATAGTGAAGTGATTTTTTTAATCAATAGACAAGAGTTTGGTACATGTAGCAGGTTAATGAAGCATCATTTATTCAACAACGTCATCAGTATTAGTTATTACAACTGAAATTATTGGAAATGTGTTGCACTCGCAATCCAAAAAATAGTTTTGACGACAATTTGAGGTACTACATTCAAGCTATCACGACTCACATAATCAGAAAATCGTTGCGTTGAATAATAACAGAAAGTTCAACAAAGGTTACAACAGCATGATTCTTAGCTATTAGTATCCTTTGTATAACTTAACTTACCTCTCCTGGTGAAATAATAATCACATGAGGAGTAAAACCTGTTCCAACAGAACCAAGAAACCATTTTCCTGAAGAACACATTACAGCATTTTATTAGATAGCAGGAACACAAAAAAACCCATTTCACGCATAAAAGAAAAGAAGAGGAACAAAAGCTAGCCATGCATAGTCAATAGAAGTTTCTGATGTTGATTCAAGTAGTAAATCAGATTTTAGGAGTACATATACTAGTATTATCAGTACACATACCCCACCAAGTTCCCAACAACACCATAATGAGCGGGCATTGTGTTTGCATGATAACAGCCGTGGCCTCCAAAGACAATAGTAGGTAAAAAACAACCAACTAAGCTGGACAGGATACCATTTTCACATCTGATCCAGATACCCAATAGCATATCTAAGCTTAAGTTCATGATATAAGCAAGGAAATACGTAACATAAAAAGGTGGTCAGAATGTTTGCAGATCTAACAAGCAATACTATCGTGCAAAATGTAAGGTAGCATGGAATCAAGAAGTTGACAAAATTCATTCAACAATCGGAAATCATCTACCACTAGTTTCTTAGTGCATTTCTGTTACCATATTAAACTACCCTTGCATTCGATCAATCATTACCATATAAACATACAACATGATCATGAAATTTGCTAGGTTGCAGGATCTCACCAAGAGAAGCCAACTGCTGCATCTTTCCAGACCCAGGTGGCCGCCCTCGGCCACGCTTCTCTGTAAGGGCACCAGACCCCGAACCCCCCGATCCTGCCCCCGACCCAAACCCTGAGCCTGGTGTGGTCACCATTGTACCCATCGCCGAGGTCGACGAGTGAGGCGTCGACGAAGACGGCGAGAGCCCCAGCGTGACCGCCCCATCAGGCTTATACTTCCTCGGCCTCCCCCGCTTCTTCTTCACCGGCTCATCCTGGCCAGCACCACTCCCCTGATCCCCTTTAGCATCCGCGCTCATTTCGACACCCATGCCAATGTCCATACCACCACCACCGCCACCACTGCCGTGCTGCGCGACAGGGGCTGAGGCATCAACATGGTGGTAACCCTGCCCAATGTGGGAACCCCCAATGTGAGGGGGCTGGAAAGGGTACCCCGCAGAGACTGCATCAAGATGCTGCCGATATCCACCGGGCGGCGGGCCGTGGAGCCCGGCCGGGTGCCCGGAGCCTCCCGGCACGCCAATGCCCCGGTGCTGCACATAGAAGGAGGAGAAGTTGGAGCCTGACGCCACTGTGGACTCCCTCCCATCCATTCATGGAATGGGAAGCTGCGCCACAGAGGAGGAAGGAGGAGGAACTCACGCGGCCACCCACAACCACAAGCACAACCAAGGTGGCAACTTTCCTTCACTATTCGAGATTAGATTCCTCCGAAAGCTATCGGAGGCGAAGCAAATGGACGCAAGAATATCAATCTCGGAGAGAGATCTCTTCTCCACCGACTCCCGAACACAAAAACCGCAGTTTGTTTGTTTTGTTTTTTTTCTCTCCTCGAGAAACGAGGCGAGATCAGATCGAGCAGCGACGGGAGATCTCGACTCTGAACAAGGCGGTGAAATCTCCAGGCAGCAAAAGATTGGAACCAAACGCGAGAAAGAGACGGGCAGAAAAAAAAACCCGATCTTTCGCAGGGAAAGAAGGGGCGAAAAGGATGGGATTTGCGCGAGGTCGAGAAGGGATGGATACACAGAGAGATAGAGTCTGCGGCGGCGGAGGCGGCGACGGCGGGCGGCGGCGGGATCCGAGAGGCGGTGGAGGGGGGAGAGGAGTGATCCAATCGAAATGGCGATGGATGGGGGAAATGGGAGATAGCTAAAACCCTAGCGGAGGGGGATCACAGGAGAGAGGAGCCCAAGAGAAGAGAAGAGAAGAGAGGAGAGGAGGGAGAGAGAGAGAGAGCAAGCATGTATGGTGAATGTCTCTATGTGTTGGAGGAGAGAGAGTGTTGTGTGTTTGTGTGTGAGGGATTCTTTGTGGAGCCAATATGGCAGATCTCATCAATGCAAGTGATATGCTGCCTTGTCCTAGGAGTGTCCTGAAATGATTTGTTGAGTATCGTAGTTTGGTCGAAGAGGGCTACGTTAGATATATGTATGTATATTGGATATGGTGTTCATTAAATTAGGTGGAATCGGACAAAAGTTTTATTGGCCAAGAAAATAGTGGATATCGTATTTGTCGGTTTATGTTATTACGTTGTTTTGTCCTATCGTACGGTTAGTTCGAATCAATGTCAAAATAAATAATCACTTGTTCGGTCTCCGTTTTTTATGCAACGTTAAGGTAGCGACAAAAACATCATTAAAACCTTCCAAGTTGAGATTCTCTAAGACTCGGAGATTGATGCCTATTGATTTGGTAAGACAGAGGCAATGATATAGTGATTCTTTCTATTAAGAGCATCGGCTACAACATTAGCTTTATCAGAGCGATACTGGATACCCAAATTTTAGTCTTTGATGAGCCGTTACTTTTTTTGGCTTGGTTTTATGTTTGGTTGGTTGATAAAATATTTCAAACTTTTTATGGCTGATATGGACTTCACACTTGTTACGATCAAAAGTGTTAGAGCATGAACTATGGTTGTCAGCTCCAAGTCATATGTTGGATAATTGGCTTTATGTGATCGTAATTGATGTGAAGTATAAGCAACCGCTTTGCTATCTTACATCAACCCACATACAATCTCATGGCGAGATGCATAAACTCAAAATTCATATATTAACGGGTATTTCAAGTGTTACGAGACTTTGTTTTTTTAAAAAATGTCTTATAGGATCACCAATGGTAGAATCTCGTCAAGTTGCCATCTAGAAATGGAAAGTGAAACAATATTTGAGTCGCAACAATCCTCTAGCAAGCTTAGTTTTAGAGTACCATTAATACCGATTTTATCAATTTTCTCAGATTTAATGTAATGTCTATGCTCATATTGCATTATATTCCATTGAAAGTGGTTAAAATGAAATATGAGAAAGAAAAAAGGTATCAGTGCAAAATTGTTTCTCACTTTTTTTAGTACAGTGGATCCGTGGATGTGACGGTCTATGCAAGAGTAGTGTGACGAAATATCTGCCACAAAGGATCATGGCCTTGACCGGGTAAGGAGAAAGAGACCGAGCTCTGCTGACGCGTCAGCTAAGTCGATAATAATTGGGTCGATAACCCCGGTGTATAGGTGAGCAATGCCATTATCATCGAGAGAGTATTTGCTTACATTTGTTCAACAACACCTGTTCAATCCAGATTTTGATTTGGGACAGTGAAAAATGCTCAAACTAAGGACCGAAAATACAATCAAAGATCTTTTTCTTTTTCTGAAAAAAGTGGCTACAATTAAACAGACAGAGCGGTCGGATATGATGAAATCGTCAATTTCTAAGTATTTGGATTTTTCTCTGTTTTCTTGGGACGGATCCAAAAGTTTTATTTCTCCCAAGAACTGATCACGTCACCATAACGTTCTCTTGTGTACTTGAGAGTTCACAGGGGCACCAATAATTCCAATGGAGTACAGCTTGATGCTGTACATGTGCCAGGGCAGTTTGGACATCTTGTCACTACTTCCAAGATTTATTTTGTACTAGACAAATAGCAACAAGACGAAGCACTATATGTTAGTATAATGCTGGAGTACCAAACAAGTCTAGCAAAGTTTTTATCTGTCCTAATTATACAAAGGACTGTCTATTCCAACCTGAAAACATTCAATAACATCTAAAAAAACTGGTGAAAAGTTCTTGTGTAGAGCACCATTTGTCAACGATGATTTGCTGGTCAGACAAGTTGCATAATTGTCGAGCAACACCAACAAAAGGATTCACACATGTGCCAAGTTTGCTGCAGATGTAGTTGTTTCATCCAAATAGCATGAAATAGCAAAAAATCTACTTCCAAATGCAACGATCTCACTTTAATATTTTAAAAGTGTTCGAGATGTTAATTCCAGGCTCTGCCACTACAAAGGTACTCTACAAACCAACGTATAGAAAAGAGTAACAAGCTCCAACTGAGTAGACTGCCAAGGCTAGATGGAATATGGTCACTTGACCAGAGCAAATGCACTCATCTGAGCATAGAACTTGTTCTCTTCCATCAAAACTATATCAACACTGGAGCACAGTTTAGCAATGGAACACAGATTGTAGGAAGTAAAACTCCCCAGTTACTTGTCGACCTCCATTGCTTGCGCAGCTTTGGCTTTTGTTAAGGCTGAAAGTTTTGTCTTCACCTTTTTCTTGCCAACCTTAAATTTGCCACCCTTCCTTTTCACATCACCATCTATCTGAATAAAAATGAAAAGAAAGCATTAAGAAGGATGCTGCAAACTTTTCTTAACCACAAAAAAAAAGAAGAATGTAGCAGTTTGCTATGTTCATATTTATATTCAAGTAAAAACACAAGACCAATCAACAGGAAGTGAAATTTGAGGAGCCAGATTGATCAAATTATTTTTTGAGAAAGCAGTAGGGAATGTAATCTCAAACAAGGCCTATATAACTGACTGACCCAAAGTAAATTATGAGCAGATTAAACAAGCTCTCGAAGACAAGCATATCCTCATCTAAGATTGTCATGTAGTTCAAGCACTATTTCTCTAGAGTACTTAAACTGGTGTGAGCAACCAGGTCACAGCATATCAGATGGCAAATATATATATTGTATACCGAAGATCATCAGGAGGTTTAACGAATAAAAGAGTCAACACCTGGTGCAAAAACAAAAGGAACTTGACAACACATGTTTGGAATTGCTAATAGGTAAACTTCAGAATATACGAGTAGATCGATGGGAAATAAAACCCAAGAAGTACAAACAGATCATATAATTGGATAGAACTCATGAGCAATCAGCTTGCTCAAATACACTCTCAAACACACCACCTACATTTCACTAGCACTAATAACTGTTTGTGATAGTAAAAACCAGCGGCTTGGAAGCAATTGAGGGTTTGAAGCCATAAAACAGTAAAAGACTGAAGCTAGTCCATAACCTAAACAGCTGCATTTAATTTCAGAAACTGCCTAATGAGTAAACCAGTGAGGCATAACAGGACTCCTGGAACTGCTTGGGATCTGTGAGCTCTTGAGATGTCTTGGAAAAGAAAGTGGCACATGGGAAATGAAATCGCTCCCAGAGCCTCATGAGAACGAACTACACTAACCATTTCACATGCCTCCTGTTATGTTTCTAAAGGGAAGCAAGCAGGGTTACACCGGTGTTGAGATTTTTGGATACCTGTGCCTAACATCCAATTTTGTGGATTCACTGTAAACTGACATATCCTTTTCTGTCACCCCTACAAAACAGGCTGATGACAGCACTGAACAAATTGAAAAGTATATGTGGACTAAAGATTCCTGTAGGTGCTGTACAAACCTCAGTGGGACAGAAGACAGAAAAATCAGACCCAGTCTGTAATAAATCTTTCAACTAGACTCTTATTCAGAATTCAAATTTCAAAGTCCTAGCTTACATCTTCCCTAACTCTCTGATAATTAGCGAATGCTGGTCCTGGCTATGCAATACAGTGGTTAGTTTCCACAAGAGCGGTCAATAGGTCGTGTGAATTATAGCAGAGATACAACTCCAACAAGCTTATAGCCACCAACAATAAGGTAAAACTAGTTTTTGGAAACTAAACTGCATGACATAGCATACTCAAACACGCATGCTAATTTAACAGATGAAGACCATCCAGTGTTACCAATCAGGAGCTGATCATACTAACTCAGCAAGAGAGGAACTACACAACAAATGATTCATCCATAGACAGAAAAGGAGATGTAGAAGAGGTTGATAGTACCTTCATCTTGGATTTCTTGGCCTGCAGCTTCTTGGCCAGTTTCTCCTTCGCCTCCTTTTCCCCTGCACACACACACATACAAGACAGCCACCATAATCCCAAATCAGATGCCTGGTTGGTGAAATCTACAAGGAGATGAGAGGAAAATCGACAAGGGAGCAGCCGGATGTATGATCTATCGGTGGTACTTTGGAGGTCGAACTCGTGCTGCTTCTTCCGCTTGGCGAGGTTGTTCTTCTTCGACATCTTCCTCGCCGCCAACCGCCGACGAAGCACAGCACAGCACGCAGCAACGAACAAACCCTAGCCGCGGCAGAGCCTCCATGGAGATGGGAGTCCTTTTAACTGGGCTGGAATTGGGCCTCCACTAATTCGGTCAAGGCCCAAACTGTCGTAAAGCAAAGCCCATCAAAGGCCCAGTTAAACAGTCATTAGACCTAACCCGGTGATTAGTGGTCAAAGCTGTCCGTCATTACGAGACGGAGACAGTGACGTGAGGGGACACGTGGCTCGGGCCGACCACTCCGATCAATCATGCCGGACACGTGGCGCGTGGCCAGGTGCCAGCGTGTCATTGCGCGGCCGCATCATTTCGTTTTTAAATATATGTTTTGGAACGAAATCATTCGATTTTTAAGCACCACCTCACCTCATTACCCGCGCTTTCCGCCCGGCAATTACACCAAGAAAAGGAGCAAAAGGAAAAAAAAAGTCTCTTTATCGGAGGCGTAACATCTACTTCTGCTGCTGCTGGTAAATACACTCTTCTCTGAGCTTCCTCAAGCTTCTGAAAACAGCAAGAGATTAAATTATCGTAATTTTAAGCATCCAAGGTGTTTGGTGCCAGTGCTCGAGGACTGGAGATGGAGACCCAGGAGGCGAAGAGAGCAGATGTGGCGGCGGCGCCGGCGACGGCGACCGGCGGTGAGGCCGTCAAACCGGCCGCCGGCGATGCTGGCGCAGTAACCAAGACGAGTAAGATTAGTTTCTTCAGCTTAGCTTTCTCTCTTTTTTTGCTCCAAGTTTCAGTCCTGCAGCAACTGTGACCCATTTTGTAGTGTTTCAGACTGAAGAAAATCTTGTTTAGAGTTCATTGGTCTGAGAAAATTGCCATCAGAGTTAGTAGTTGGAATTAGAGTAGTTACTTGCTGCCTTTGGTGCTAATCCTTATAGATGCAGCAGATGGACCTTCAGCACCAGCAGGCAAAGCTGCAACTCCAACGGGTTCGGTTGACAGAGGTACTACGTGCATAATTATTCTTCAAGTTTCAGTCAAGAAATTGCAATCTATGGAGTAAATGGCAGCAACAAATGAAATTAACTTGCAGACGCCATACTCGCAAACGTGGAGCTGGAGAGGAAACTGTCAATGATCAAGGCGTGGGAGGAGAGCGAGAAGAGCAAAGCGGAGAACAAGTAAGATAAGATAGCCTGAACTCAATCAAGCACTGTAATAAATTGCATTCTTGTCAATCCTGTAAATTATCATCGTGTCACATACTCATAAAAAATGGCATGTTTATCAGGGCTCAGAAGAAGATGTCATCCATACTCTCATGGGAGAACACGAGGAAGGCAGCTATAGAAGCAAAACTGCGAACACAAGAGGTCTGAATCTTCATATATCTCTTCTTGTCAAAGAGATAGTAGTTCATAGTTGCAGCAATGGCTGTGGCTTCCTGAACTGACTGACTGACTGACAATGTATTCCATGAATTGCAGGAGAAGCTGGAGAGGAAGAAGGCGGAGTACGCGGAGAAGATGAGGAACCAGGTAGCGGCGATCCACAAGGCGGCGGAGGAGAAGAGGGCGACGGTGGAGGCGACGCGGCACGAGGAGATAATCAAGTATGAGGAGATGGCCGCCAAGCACAGGTCCAAGGGGACTACACCCACCAAATTCCTCTCTTGTTTCGGCTCCTAGAACCACAAAAAACGCTCCTGCAGTGCAGTCTCCTGTCCTGTGTGCTGATGCTTCTGTGTGTTGATATGGTGATCAGTTTGCAGTTTTGGGCTTGTTTCTCTTCTTTAATCTTCTGTGTTGAAGTTCCGGATTTCATGGCTCTGTCATGCTGCTGCTGTGTTTTCCTTTTCGCTGAAGATGTGATCATCATGTTTGGTGAGTGTAAGCATACTCAAAACACTTGTAAACAGTCAGTCACATGTAAACATACCACCTTTTTTGTGAATTTTGCGCTTCCAGAGATTAAGAAAAAAAGCGTGCCAATTTGTTTTGTTGGTGCTTTGTATCATGTATGTGCATATTTGTATTCCATGACATGCAAGCAACATGACAACATGTACTTGTTGAACTCAAGTACGGGTAAGTAACAGTTAGGCACTTGACAGCAGCAGCAAGTGTTTGCTGATGTGGGAAGCAAACATGGAAGGACCAACCAATTACTAATAGTGAATGATTTGGAATAAGCACTGCAATTTGCAGGTACAACTGTAACAACAAGTGCATTCTTGAGTTTTCAACAAGATGAGCAATGGAAATGAAAGAAAAACAAGCAACATCAGAAGCGCTGCACAACAGCGAGTTGTTCTTCATGCAGTTCATTACTGAAGCAGAATCTCTTATATACAGCTGAGCAAAATTTCCTAGAACCAACCAACTACTGATCATCAAAATTCAAGTAGCACATTCACCAACTCTTGCACCTGATTCTATATATGTACTATGTATCTACTGAGAATAAACACTAGCACGGCATTAAGCCACTAACTATATAAAAAGGCATGTAATGTAAATATGTAAGAGCTGGACTAGTTGTTGATGCATGATGTTAAATCTTGTTGGCTTGCAGCACTAATCACTTTCCAGGTAGGTAGCTAACTACATCAACCAACAGTGAAGTAAATCATCCCTATACTGATCGGTGAAGTGATGGTAGTGAAGGATTTTGGTTTGCAAGTGCAGCGAATCGGCGAGCGACGGCTGCTCAGGTAGGGGGCAGCGCGTCGTAGAGGTCGTTGCCGCGGCGGGAGACGAGGGCGACGGCGAGCACGACGTCGATGGCGAACACGGTGGCGACCGTCGCGGCGAGGATCCAGACGCGCACCTTCCCCCAGAAGGCGGCGCGGCGCAGGCGGAGGGTGGCGGCATTGGGGCGGAGCTCGGCGGCGGCGGCCTCGACGAGCGCGGCAACGAGGCGCTTGGAGCGGGGGCTGAGGCCGCGGCCGCCGCGCAGCTCGGCGAGCGCGAGGCTGATCTGGTCCGGGAGGGGCTCCTCCTCCTCCTCATCGACCATAGCCGTAGCCTCGGCGGGCGCTGTGACCTGCACGATATAATCACAGCTGTCGAATTGTAAAATCCAAATTCGTAGACGCACTCGAATCGAGCAAATTCTGGAACAGAAACATCATTTCCAGTTGGAAACGACAAGTGGATTCAGAATCGAAGCAAACTGAACATAAAGGGAAACACAAATGAATCTGAAATGATTGGGGAGCAGAGAAACTGTAATCACACTGGAATCAAATCGAAGTTAAAAAAAAAACGCCCGATGCCATAAACCCAAACCAAAACCCAGAGCGTGAGCATTTCAAAATCCACCACCTCGGTGAGAGCGGAGTCGGCGGAAGCGGTGATGGCGTCATCCGGGTCCGGGGCGGCGGAGATGAGGGCGGCGGTGGTGGTGGTGGAGGAGGAGGAGTCGGCGGGGTCGGGGAGGTCGAGCAGCGGCGCGAGGTCGTCGGGGAAGGTGAAGTCGCCGTCGTGGAAGGCCAGGCACTTGGCGACCCCCTGGTGGTTGGTTGATCGAAAGGGAGAGGACAAGGTTTAGCGGTGGGCGATCGAGGAGGAGGTGAAGGGCGGGGAGGTTTGGTTACCTTGGAGTTGGCGGCGGCGGGGATCGGCGGCCTGGGGGTGGAGGAGGAGCCGACGGATGGCCGGGCGGAGGCGGAGGAGGAGCGGATGGAGGCGGGGCGCGGGGTGTGCACGGCGGCGGGAGACGGCTTCGCCATGGCTCCTCTCCTCTCCGTTGCTGCGCTTCTCTCTCTTTGTGGCTCCTTCCCTCATGAAGAGGAGAGAGGAGAGGGAGGAGGAAGGCAACTTGAATTGGGCCGCTTCCATCATTTGGGCCTCGCGAGCGAACCCAATTCCCAGCCCAGCCCACCTTAGAGAGAGGAGACAGAGACGGAGACAAATCGGTGGATGGGGCCCAAAACCGTCTCTTCCTCCTCCTTCGCCTTCTTCTCCCTTGGTTTTTCCCTCGTGACATCACGGACACCAGCGGCGATCCATCGGCGATCCACCGCGCGCGCTTCGATCGGCGACCGCCTCAGGTGAGCTCCGCGCTCCTCCCTAGCTCCACCCCCATGGTATTCCCCTCCCTTGGCCATGCCTCGAGAGTCGAGACGATCCAAGCGGATTCATCCACGCGAGTCTCAGATTCAGATGGCCTAATCGATCCACCATCGCATCGCATCGCAATTTCTTCTCTCATCTAACTCTTCTTCTTCTTCTTCTCTCCTTTGCCAGTTAGTTAGTTAAGTTTCCATGGCGGGGAGGCCCAGCATCCCGACCAACAGCTCCGCTCTCATCGCCATCATCGCCGACGAGGTACGCCACCCCAACATTAGCTTCATGTTTGCGCCCCAATCATACCACAACTCCTGAATAGCCCCAATCATACCATACCTCCTGAATTGCCGAATGCCCACTCTTGTCTTGTCATGTCTGCTAGCGATCCATTTACTTGCACTTGCAGGGATGGGATGCCTCAATCCATTCCTCCAACTAACTAGCTAATCACTGCACTTCTGTTGCATGTATGTATGTATGTATGTTATAAGGGAAACTGTTTTTCAATACCAGATGTGTGCATAATCTCCAGTCCTTCTCTAGTTGCTCAACTTGTTGCCTTATTACTACTTGTCCAATCACCCGAGTTTAGTAATTTTGTCACGCATTTTGCTAGCTATGGAATTGGAATACTACGGTTACAGGAAAGAAATAAAGTATAATGCATAGTGTTTTGTTCTATAATAACATGCCGATGGTCAATATGAGGAATGAAAGCTGGCTGTTGCTTAAGCAAAATTGTCTCAAGGACACTTGATACTTCCATTCTCACTTGCTTCACATGTACTCCTGAATTCCTGATCGGTTAATTCACAGTAGCAACCCATAGTTTCCAATCAGCATCGTTCAATGAGAACCAGAGGAGTAAACTGAAGCTCTTAATAAAGAACTGACACAAAACCGCATCCTACCTTTGTTAATAGAAAAATATGCAACACTCTTTTGTTGGTCTTGACATAAGCTGCTCTAAGAGTAGCCAGGTTCCCCAGTGTTTAATCATGATTATAGTCATCTGAAAGGAATATTCTGTTTCCTCCCCTGTGTTTGCAGGACACGGTCACTGGGTTTTTGTTGGCTGGAGTTGGCAATGTTGATCTGAGGAAAAAGACAAATTACCTTATTGTTGATAACAGTAATAACCTCAACTTTCTAACGTGCAAAGCTGTTTAATTTTTCCATCAATGTCAGGCTGCTTTTATTCTGACTATATATAAGGGGAACATCGCGTGACACTCTATTGATCATCTCATGTGCAAAAAACATATTATCATTACCCAATTGCATGTACCATTTTAAATCAATGTAAATCTATCTTTCCATTGTTAGTAGCTATTGGCTTATTGCTGTTTAGTGTTTTACCACAATACAGAGGATGCACTGTGTCAAATGATCTTTCTTCATGATTAAAATTCATTTTTTGGAAATCTGTCAATGTAGTAGTGGTGCCTATTTTGGTCAGGGATGTCAAACTTCTAGAAGGTTGGACTGACCCTGTGAATTTCTTGCTTACTAGAGCAATATAGACATGTTTTGCATTTCGGTTTGGTAACTGGTTTTTTTTTTTAACAGTAATGAAGAAAGTTGGATCTTGCATCTCAGTGGCAATTGATTTCTTATTTCAGGACATAAATAGCATCCCTGAACTTATGGTTCATTGTTATGTTATCCTTGTTGATTATATTATGTAACCATACTTCCTATATGCTATGTTAAATTAGTACTCCATAGACTTCATACCAATGAGTTTTACCATGACATGTTACAGAAACAACAGTCAAACAAATCGAAGATGCATTTAAGGAATTCACTACAAGGGAGGACATTGCAATTGTTCTCATCAGCCAATATGTAAGTATCTTGATTGTATACATCCAGCTATTTCTTCTTCTGTTTGTTAAGATGATCAATGATCATCTTATCACTTATCCAGGTCTTATAAAATGAGAATGGCAAAGCAAGATTTTCTCAATTCTAGACTCAGATTCAATTATGTGTCTTTGGTTGATAGTTGGCCTTCTTTTGTTGGAGTGTTTTACATCTCCGGAGTTCTCAATATGGCATGTGGCAGGAGCATAGCCAACAAAGTTGTATAATAACAACGATATCAATGTTAATTTTTTGTTTTTGTCTGTTTTATCATCCAGTTTACTGATATGCTTACATATCAGTAAAGCCAAACTGTAGCATGCTAAGGTGCTTATAGAACGTTGTAAAGCCAAACTATAGCTCTAGCTAGCCTTAAAGCTAGAATGTTAGATCTAACTAGTCAAGGCACTTGTTCAGTCCTATTTACAGAGTTGTGGCTAGACATGTAGTGTTAACAGCAATGGGTGTAGAAACATTTGTTCAACATGACACCTGATTCAGAAGAAATAGAAAATAGTCAGTTCCACAGAATTAAGGTTCCTACAGCTCTGCAAGCCTTCGTAGTTGTAGTCCTTAGGAAATTTTGTGCAGCCTAAAATGGTCATCCGTTGTAGACAAATCCTGATTGTTTTCTGTTTTTCATTTGACAGGTTGCGAACATGATAAGGTTCCTGGTGGATAGCTACAACAGGCCCGTTCCTGCTATATTGGAGATCCCATCCAAGGATCATCCGTATGACCCAGCACACGATTCTGTTCTTTCTCGCGTGAAGTACCTGTTTTCTGCTGAATCGGTGGCATCAGATAGGCGATAAAAACTGTTTGTGTTATGCAACATGGGCATCCTACTTTGTGTGTAACATTTACCCTTTGAAACTGCTCAATTTATGCCTATTATTGTAAACTCCATTTTTGTGTGAATAATGAGAGGGACGATCGGGCAGATGAACTACAACAAAATAAAGACACGATGAATTCATGTAGCTCCTTTTGTGTATGACTCTGGTGTTCACAAACGGACATATTGTATGTCGATGTTGATAAACGATGATTTTCATTTGTGGTAATTATATGTGTCCATCTATTTACTGCTAGGCATGTAAGTGCTTTTGTCTTTCAGCGTGTAAATACGGCATTGACAAGAGGCTAATGGTCATATTGACCAAAGTTTGCCAGTGAGAAAAAAATCTGCCCGTCTCAACAGAATAGATTTTCAACAGCTTAGATGACTAGGCGCGTGTTTTGAAGCAAAATTGCAGTGCAGAAGAGAAGTTGACGTTTGAGAGCAGAATATTCAGATTGCATAAATATATGTCCAGGCTTATAATCTGGAACTAAAAGTTCCAGTTGGAGATGAAACAAGAGATTAAAACATGGTTAATCACATAAAAAAAAGGAACCAGCATTTTCGTAACAGTCAGCATGCCTTGAAGCGTTTGAAACTAGAGTATTACATCACAAAGAAGAAAAGGAACCGAAATATTCAGAACATTCAGCATATATTATTACCACACAGCGAATCACAGTTTTGCTTTGCACCGAGTAAAATTAAGACCGGAAGTGAATTACATGAGGCGACACCATCACCAATCCCTCTGTAATTTGCTTCCTCAGCAGCTCCTGCTCCTCGATGGTCTGCGGATACCATGACGGAGCAACCTTGATCTTGGGATCCAAGTCTTCGCAGCACTCGAGCAACTTCCTGTCGTACAGGGATACATCCTCTAGGTTAACAGCAGCTTCCATGATGTGCCTGATGTATCCAAGGAAGTTGTCATTTGGTTGGAAACCATAGATTGTGAGTTTAGTCAGGTTGTAATGCCTGAAACCATCAGGTGCAGATGACTCCCACTCCACGTTTGCTTTTTCAGAGTAACCCTGTTCTTCCCGTTCCACCTTGTCGGTCTGCATCCCACACCAATGGTCCCAAACCGTGACGCGCATCTCCTTCAGGGAGGGTGCTGCCTCGAGAAAGAAGCATGTCCAAGAAATATCACATTCTTCTGGGAGTTCATCCAGATTCAGAACTTGCAGATTCCGAAGAACAGGCGCCAACAGTTTCGGGCACTCTGGCTGAACCCAAATCTGCAATACATACCAGCAATAAAGGATGTAGATTAAGTTGAGAATGAGGGACAAATAACCTGAGAGAGAGAGAGAGAGAGAGAGAGAGAGAGAGAGAGAGAGAGAGAGAGTCTTGGTTAAACTAATTACCTTTTCACTTCCGAAGTTGAGGTACAGGTCGCTTATGTTGGGGACATTAGCAAGGAAGTGACTTAACCTGATAACCTCCTGATATCTCATGGCTACATTAGTGAGGCTTAGGCTTGAAAGCAGCGGGACATTGCCAAAAGACAAAGGTTCATGGGGACAGACCCACAAACTAAAATCCAGATGTTTGAGGTTTGGTAAGTAGTTGAGCTCGACTAATTCTAAACTTGCATGATAGATATCAAGCTCAACAAGTCGTGGGTGCTCCACCTGTAGCTGCAACACGCTATCCTCTGTTTCACAGAATGACAAACGGAGATACTCTAACAGTTTGCATGTGGCGATGATATTCGGAATGTCAGTTTCACCAAGCTTCAAGTTGCGTAGGTAGAGACGCGTAAGGCCAGCGAATGCATCGGTACAGGCACCGAAAAATCTCATGAGTTGCTTCCCATTGTGGCGGAGATCATAAGTAGAGTAATGTTCCGGCTTCTTCTCTGGCAGAATAATGAACTCGACGCTGTCGAGGAGGTTGTTGGTGGCCATGGCTCGGGCGACAGCTTTGCCAATGGTGAGACAATCATAGTATTTCAAGTAGAAACAAACGCTGAGATGGCGAAGGGGGATATCCTGTCTTCTGAAATTGAGAATGTTGTCTGTTGCATCGGCGACAGCAGCGTTCATCGGGATTGTATCCTTCAAGGTGGCATAACCGCAGTCGGGCACGAAGGAATCAACGCTAATTTGGAATCGCGAGAGCATGTGGCGGAGGTGGATCGTCCTCTTGGAAAGGAGGCAGGTTCTGACAGCATCGGGGGTGTTGAGACGGTCAAGGATGTTGAGCAGCAGATCATCAGGTAGCTTGGTGGACCTATCCACTACTAGTTGGGGGTTATTGTGAGCTGCTGATTTCTTCTGCATCAATCAATATAATTGCAAAACGAAATTAATTAGTGCATGCATACATATCCAAGAGAATACAGATAGAGAAATGCAAAAGGAAGGAAACAATAGTAGATGAATAAAAGGCTAGTTAGGCGGCTTACATTGCGGTTATGGCAACTACCCTTCTTATTCTTCATGATGGTATGGTGGTTAATTCCAACGAGGTGTAAAGTAGCTTGGCTGATGGATTCGATTTCTTAATTGGTTGTTTAATATTGCAGCAGCGCTTATATATGCTTAATTGTTTGCGATGAATATATAAAGAGGAGGAGAAGGACGGTGACCTCGACTGCCAACTAGTCCTCCGTCCGTCTCCTAAACGAAACGAAGGAGAAGAATTTCCATGTTTGTTAGATTGAGTCCTTTACAGATTTTTCTTTTTGGGAACAAGTCCATTACAGATTTAAAAGGCTACTCTTAGATCAAAGGTAAAAGCTTCTTACTGTTTGTATGAACTATCTTTGTGTTTTCCCCCGTTGAAGAATTTAGTTGGTGAAAACAGATCTTCTTACTGTTTGTATGAAGTAGCATTCCAGGTTTGTAGACTGCCGGTTCATATTGAAAACAAATCTCCATTCTCTAAACACATCTGAGAGTGTTTTTTGTTTATTGCTTGCCAAAGCCAGGAGCAAGAACCAGGCAAATCTCAACTTTCCCTTAGGATTTATCTCTAAGTAGGACAATACACATTACAAACCTGGAATGGACAATACACAGTTTTTACCCGGAGGTAGTACCATTCACTAATTCTAAAGGTCTTAAAAAAGTGAGAGTGCGATGGCAGGTGAAAATTAACAACCCCATACTAAGCTTAAATAGTGGGGTAAATAGTAACCGTAGGGGAAAGGATAAACGAATATATTTTTTCACTGCACCAAAAGAATATCAGAATATTCAGAACATTCACATACATTACTCCAGTTACTGGTCCGAAACCAAGTTGCAGGAAACACGATGAGTGAAAAAAAAGAACCCGAATATTCAGAAAACTCAATATGTATTACTGTATAGCAAAACCAAGATTTACATTTTTGCGCATAGTAAATTCAGATTTAAGACCGGAAGCGAATTATATCAGAGGAAGCAATCCCGAATCCCTCTGTAATTTTCCTCCTCACCAACTCCTGCTGCTTGATGGTCCGCGGAAATCTTGACAGAGCAACTTTGATCTTGATCTTGGGATCAAGGTCACTGCAGCAATCAGAGAACCTCCTGTCGTACAGGGATATCCTCACTAGGTTAACCGCGGCTTCCATCATGCACCTGATGTATCCAACGAAGTTGTCATCAGGTTGAAAACCGTAGATGATGAGCTTAACCAGATTGTGATGCTTGAAACCATCAGGTTGTGAGCTTTGCCACTCCACGTTTGTTTTGTCACGGTAACCCAGTTCTTCCCCGTTCCACGCTGTCAGTCTCCATGTCACACCAATGGTCCCAAACTGTGATGGACATCTTCAGGTTAGGCGCTGCCTCGAGGAAGAATCTTGTCCAAGCTATATCACATCCCTCGGGGAGTCTATCCAGATTCAAAACCCGCAGTTTCTGGAGAACAGGCGCCAGAAGTTTTGGGCACTCTGGCTTAACCCAAATCTGCAAATACAAGTAATAAAAAAAAAAGGAAGAATGTGGTTTTAAGTTAATTAAGAATGAGGAACAAATAACCTGACCTGACAAAGATGCTTGGCTTGCTTAAAGTAATTATTATTACCTTTTCACTTGCGAAGCTGAGGTGCAGGTTGCTTATGTTGGGGACATTAGCAAGGAAGTGACTTAACCTGAAAACCTTCTGATATCCCGCGCTTACATTGTTGAGGCTTAGGCTTGAAAGCATTGGGACGTTGCCAAAAGACAAGGGTTCTCCGGGAGAGACCCACATACCAAAAACCAGCCGCTTGAGGTTGGGTAGAGATTTGAGGTCGACTAGGTGGAAACCTGCATCGTAAATGTCAAGCTCAACAAGCCGCGGGTGTTCCAGCTGCAGCTGCAACACGCTATCCTCTGAATCACACACCGACATGCACAGATACTGCAGCCGTTTGCATGTGGAGAGGATGTTGGGAATGTCAGCTTCAGCAAGCCTCAAGTTCTGGATGAAGAGCTGTGTAAGGCCGGCGAATGCATCAAGATAAGAACCAAGAAAGGTCATGAACTGCTTCCCATTACGGCGGAAATCATCAACGGTGTAACACTCTGGCTGCAGCTCCGTCAAGATGATGAACTCGACGCTGTCGATTTGGTTGTAGGTGGCCATGGCTTGGGAAACAGCTTTGCCGATGGTGAGACAGTCGTAGTATTTCAAGTAGAAACATATGCTGAGTCGGTGAAGAGGGACGTCTTGGCTTCTGAAACTGAGGACATTGTCTGTTGCATCAGCCACGGCGCTGTTGGCCTGAATAAGACGAGGCAAAGAGACAAAACGAGAACCGTTGAAGAAGGAACCAGCACGTCGGGGGTGTTGAGACGGTCCAGGATGTTGAGCAGGACATCGTCAGGTAACTTAGAGAGCCTATCCACTGGTAGTGGTAGGGAACCAGTGGATGCTGCTGATTTCTGCATCGATTGCAAATTGCGGAAACTAAATATATTAGTGGCAGGCACCAGGCAGCGAACCAATGTAGTATAACTTACGAACAAAACACAAAACAAATAACGTAAATGTAAACTAAACTAAATTGATGTTTTTACAGCACATAACAATAATAATAAATAGTTTAGAAGTAGTTTATCAGAGACAGCATAGCAACATCCATGGATCTGACAGACAGGCGAGAGAGATGCAGATGGAAGAAGATAGGAGGCGGCGGCGGCTTACGTTGCGGTTGCGGCGACTTCCCTTCTTGTTCTTCATGGATGACCTGAAGCGGGCGCTGGTGGATGAGATCGGAATCAGATGTGTTGGCGATCTTCTTGTGTTTCTTCTATACTAGTAGATATATAAATATGGATGAAGGCGCTCGGTCGGCCGGGCCGGATCCTATGCGAAATTGGCTCTCGGACATCGAAATCCCCCACTCCCTTTTCGACTGCTATTTCGGCAAGTCATATCAAGAAACTCCATTGTGGAGAAGAACAAGATCAGAATCAGACCAGATCGCCGTTCGCCGTTAGCGGCGGCGTGCGTTGCCGATGGCGATGGGATTTAGGGTTTTTCGGCCTCTCGGGGACGACGGCCTAGTACACTTTGCTGGGCCGCCGATATAAATGGGCCCACTCATCCTTTCTCCCTCAGCTATGGGGAAAAGTACACCGAAGGTCCCACAACTTGTCATCGGGTTACAAAATCGTCCCCAAACCGCAAAACAAAATACTAAGATACTGGAGGTCCCTCAATTAGCAAAACCGTTCGCTTGAGATCCTATGTGGTTTTGACCCCGGTTTTGTCTGACGTTGCGGATGAGTTAGCGTGGACCCCACCTGTCAGCATTGCCACATCAATCTTCTCTCTCTTTTCCTCTCTTCTCTATTCTTTCTCATCCTCATCTCTCTCTCTCTCCTCTCCGACAGCGAGTCTGTGAGGTGGGAGAGGAGGAGGGCGTCGGCGACCGGCGACGCGGCGGCGGAGGAAGGGGCGGCGCGCGGGCGGCTGAGGGCGGAGCGGCGACGCGGCGGCGGGGGAAGGGGCGGCGCGCGGGCAGCGGGGGAGGGGCGGCGACCGAGAGGAGTTCAGCCGCACTCTCGCCGAGCGCCTCGTCCTCGACATCGAGAAGGTGATGTGCCAGCTCGACGCTCTCCCTTCTAGGCTAATGCCCCCCGTGCCGCCGGCGCCACCTTCGGTTTCAGCGGGAGCACCTCGTGCTCCTCCTCCGCATGGACCTTCCCCATCGCCGCCGCCACCGCTGGCGGCCGCCGTTGAGGCACCGCCCTCCTCCTCTCCCGCCGCCCACGCGCTGCTCGTCCGTCGGCCGCGCGTCGCCCCTCCCACGCCGCCCGCGCGCCGCCCCTTCCCCCGCCGCCGCATCGCCGCTCCGCCCTCGGCCGTCGGCGCGCCGCGCCTCCCCTGGCTGCCCGCGCGCCGCCCCTTCCCCACCGCCGCGTCGCCGGCCGCCGGCCGCCTGTCGCCGACGCCCTCCTCCTCTCACGCCGCCCGCGCGCTGCTTGTCCGCCGGCCGCGCACCGCCCCTCCCCCGCCGCTCGCAATCGCAGAGAATGGAGAGATAGAAAGATGAGATGGGAGAGAAGAGAGGAAAAGAGAGAGAAGGCTGACGTGGCAATGCTGACAGGTGGGGCCCACGCTGACTCACCCACCACGTCAGACAAAACCGGGGTCAAAACCACCAGAGGACCTCAAGCGAACGGTTTTGTTAGTTGAGGGCTCCGATATCTGATTTTGCGGTTGAGAGACAATTTTGTAACTCGATGACAAGTTGAGGGACTTTCGGTGTACTTTTCCCTCAGCTATGACACCCCACAACTGTTAGTATGTTACAACTACTAGTAATATATTAATTGATCTTCCTCAGTGGTTTTTAAAGGTGATTTTTGTACTATGTGACATTATTCCTATAAATAATTAGACCTTGTGTAGTTGGCAAAAAAAAATTTACTCCTACGTGTCACATCGGATATACGGACACACATTTGAAGTATTAAACGTTGTCTAATAACAAAACAAATTACATATTCCGTCAGGAAACTGCGAGACGAATTTATTAAACCTAATTAATCCGTCATTAGCAAAAGTTTATTGTAACATCACATTGTCAAATCTTAGCGCAATTAGGCTTAAAAGATTTGTCTCGCAATTTACACGCAATCTGTATAATTGGTTTTTTTATCTACATTTAATACTCCATACATACGTAAAAACGAAACCAGGATATTCAAAACATTCAAAATATATTGCTTACATTATAGTATATCCAAGTTACTGGCCTGAAACCAAGTTGCAGGAAACAAGAGAATTCTAATGCATGCCTTGAAACGTTTGAAACTAGAGTGTTTCGTCACAAAAGGAAAGAAGAAGAAACCAAAAATATTCAGAACATTCAGCATACATTATTGCTACTCAGCTAATCGCATTTTCGCGCTGATGAATTAAGACCGGAAGTTAATTACATGAGGCGATGCCATCACCAATCCCTCTGTAATTTGCTTCCTCAGCAACTCCTGCTCCTCGACGGTCTGCGGATACTTTGACGGAGCAACCTTGATTTTGGGATCCAACTCTTCACAGCAATCTTCCACCTTCCGGTCGTACAGGGATATCTCCTCTATGTTAACCGCGGTTTCCATGATGTGCCTGATGTATCCCAAAAAGTTGTCATCAGGTTGGAAACCGTAGATGGTGAGCTTAACCAGATTGCAATGCCTGAAACCATCAGGTGAAGATGACTCCCACTGCACGTTTGTTTTGTCACAGTAACCCTCTTCTTCCCGTTCCACCTTGTCCGTCACAATATTACACCAATGGTCCCAAATTGTGATGCATAGCTCCTTCAGGAAGGGTGCAGCTTCAAGAAAGAAGCGTGTTATCACATCCTTCACGGAGATCATCCAGAGTCAAAACTTGCAGATTCTGGAGAACAGGCGCCAGCAGTTTCGGGCACTCTGGCTGAACCCAAATCTGTAATACAAACAAGTCATAAAGGAAGGATGCAGGGGTTAAGTTGAGAATGAGATGTTCATAACATGATAGAGAGAGAGACTTGCTTAAATTAATTACCCTTTCACTTTTGAGGTTGAGATGCAGGTCTCTTATGGAGGTTACATTAGAAAGAAACTGACTTAATCTGATAAGGTTGTGCAATCTCAGACCTACATTAGTGAGGCTTAGGCTTGACAGCTGCGGAACATTGCCAAAATACAAGGGTTCTTGGGGATGTCTCCAACTATTAAAGACCAGCCGTTCGAGTTTCGGTAGAGAATTGAGCTTGACTAGTTTTAAACATCCGTGGCAGATATCAAGCTCAACAAGCCGCTGGTGTTCCACCTGCAGCTGCAACACAGTACCCTCTGTTTGACACATGAACATACGCAGAGACTCTAATCGTTTGCATGTGGCAATAATATTGGGAATGTCAGTTTCAGCAAGCCTCAAGTTCTGTAAGTAGAGTCTTGTAAGCCCAGCAAAGGCATCAGTACAAGCACCAAAAAAGGTCATGAGCCGTTTCCCATTGTTGCGGAGACCATAAAAAGTGTAATAATGTAGCTTATAATCTGTCAGAATTCTGAACTCAGCGCTGTCAAGCTTGTGGGTTGCCATGGCTCGGGCAACAGCTTTGCCGATGGTGAGACAATCGTAGTATTTTAAGTAGAAACATATGCTGAGTTGGCGAAGAGGGATCTCTTTGGCTCTGAAATTGAGAACATTGTCCGTTGCATCGGCCACGGCGGCGTTCATCACGATAGTCTCCTTAAAAGTGATATAATCAGGATCTGGCGCGAACGAAACTACTCCCTCCATCCAAAAAAAAAGTCAAATCTGAGTTTCCGTGTCCAACTTTGATTGTCCGTTTTATATAAAATTTTTTTATAATTCGTATTTTCATTATTGTTAGATAATAAAACATGATTAATATTTTATGCGTGACTTGTCTTTTTAATTTTTTTTTAATTTTTTTAAATAAGACGGATGGTAAAACGTTGGACACGGAAACCAGGGTTTGTCTTTTTTTTTGGGACGGAGCGAGTAGGCCAATTTGAAAGCGCGAAAGCATGTGTCGGAGGTGGAGCGTCCTCTTAGAGAGGAGGCAGGTTCTGACGGCATCGGGGGTGTCGAGGCGGTCCATGATGTTGAGCAGGATGTCATCAGGTAGCGTGGTGAACCTATCCACCACCATTACGGGAGCTGATTTCTGCATCGATATAGTGTTTATTTGTGAAACTAATAATAAATTAATTAGTGCAACAGTAGTCATGGATCGACAGGGAAAGAGAAGACTGACATGACAGATGCAATGCAAATCAGTAAGTACTCCCTTCGTATTTATGAAGCCATTGATTTTTCGACCAACGTTTGACCATTCGTTTTATTCGAAATTCTTATACAAATATGAAAATATTTATGTCATGTTTAAAGAACATTTAATGACGAATCAAATCATAATAAAATAAATGATAATTATATAAATTTTTTAGATAAAACGAATGATCAAACATTTAATAAAAAGTCAACGGCGTCATACATTAAAATATGGAGGTAGTAGGAAGGGAATAGACGGCTTACATTGCGGTTGCGGCGACTACCCTTCTTGTTCTTCATGGTTAATGAATTCCAATGTTCAACGGCGGGGCCTGACCATAACAGACAAGCGCTGCGCTTATTGCGATGGACGTCGGCTCCTCCTGACTTGTTTATATACTGAGAGGAGAAGAAGAGGAAAAGAAGGCGCCTCCGACTGAATCCGATTAGAATAGGAAAATATTGGACACACTCGATGATTTTTATGGCTTTTCATCGCATTCGAGACTGATTCGATTGCATGAGCTGTTTATATATACTTTTTTTTTTGGAATAAATTGGTTAAAGGAATCAATCAACAATAGAAACTCAATACTAGTACTAGTCACCAGCTGATGGATGGAGGCGTGGCGTGTCCGGATAGACTTTTCCAGGCGAAGGCTACGGAACGAAACCGATTGCTAATATGGTTATGTTTAGTTCAACGTAAAGTTTGAATTTTAATTGAAATTAGAGATAATGTGACTAAAAAGTTATGTGTATGATAGATTGATGTGATAGAAAAGGACTGAAATTTGAATCCAAACTTCGAATCTAAACATAGCCTATATATACACACACTTCAGACAAACAGTTACCAGTCTTTTTACCTTCATCTTCAGTAGGTCAGTAAATATTACAAACCTGGCATTGATTAGATTATAAACGCCTTTGATCTCGCTTGAATCTAGTACCACTGATAAGAGATTGAACACCAATCTCTTGGTGGTACTTGAACAAAACACATTTGCTTCAGCTGTGAGCTGGATGGCAAGTTCTCTTACTGGACAAAGGGTGGAAAATATTTCATTGCACCAAATAGAAAAGGGAAACCAGAATATTCAGGATATATATTATTATGCAGCAAGCTTAAATATGTGCTGGCTACCGGCCTGAAACCAAGGTTGCAGGAAAGAAGACAAGTTCAATCAATGCCTTTAAACGTTTGAAACCAGAATATTTCATAACAAAGAAGGAAAAGGAACCAAAATATTCAGAACATTCAGCATATATTATTTCCAGTACCACACAGCGAATCACAGTTTTGCACCGAGCAAAATTAAGACCGGAAGTGAATTACATGAGGCGACGCCATCACCAATCCCTCCGTAATTTGCTTCCTCAGCAGCTCCTGCTCCACGATGTTCTGCGGATACCTTGACGGAGCAACCTTGATCTTGGGATCCAAGTCTTCACAGCACTCAAGAGCCTTCCTGTCGTACAGGGATATGTCCTCTAGGTTAACAGCAGCTTCCATGATGTGCCTGATGTATCCAAGGAAGTTCTCATTTGGTTGGAAACCATAGATGGTAAACTTAGTCAGGTTGTAATGCCTGAAACCATCACGTGCAGATGACCTCCACTCCAAGTTTGTTTTGTCGCAGTAACCCTGTTCTTCCCGTTCCACCTTGTCTGTCTCAATCTCACACCAATGGTCCCAAACTGTGATGCACATCTCCTTCAGGGAGGGTGCGGCCTCAAGAAAGAAACTTGTCCAAGCGATATCACATTCTTCAGGGAGTTCATCCAGATTCAAAACTTGCAGATTCTGGAGAACAGGCGTCAACAGTTCCGGGCACTCCGGATGAACCCAAATCTGCAGTACATATCAATAATAAAGGATTCAGATTTATGTCAAGAACAAGGAACAAATAACCAGAGAGGATTGCTTAAAGTAAATTACCTTCTCACTTAAGAAATTGAGGTGCAGGTCTTTTATGAAGGTGATATTAGCAAGGAACTGACTTAACCTGATAACCTTATGCCATCTCATGGCTACATTAGTGAGGCTTAGGCTTGAAAGCAATGGAACGTTGCCAAAAGACAAGGGTTCTTGGGGACAAACCCACACACTAAAAACCAATCGTTTGAGGTTTGGTAGGGAGTTGAGCTCAACTAGGTCTAAGTTCGCAGTGGAGATATCAAGCTCAACAAGGTGTGGGTGTTCCAACTGTAGCTGCAATACACTATCCTCTATTTGACACGCGGACAATTTCAAATACTCTAGCCGTTTGCATGTGGCGATGATGTTTGGAATGTCAGCTTCAGCAAGCCTTAAGTTGCGTAGGTGGAGACGCGTAAGGCCGGCAAATGCATCAGTACAGGCACCGAAAAATGTCATGAGCAGCTTGCCATTGTGGCGGAGATCGTCGATAGAGCAATATAGTGCCCGCTTCCCTGTCAGAATAATGAATTCAACGCTGTCGAGGTTGTGGCTGTGGGTGGCCATTGCTCGGGCAACAGCTTTGCCAATGGCGAGACAATCATAGTACTTGAGGTAGAAGGTTATGCTGAGTTGGCGAAGGGGAATCTCTTGGTTTCTGAAATTGAGGATGTTGTCTGTTGCATCTGACACAGCAGCATTCATCTGAATCTGAATTGCATCCTTGGAGGTGGCATAATAACCATAATAATGGGGCAAAAAGGAATGCAGCGAAATGTTTAAGTTTGAGAGCAAATGTCGAAGGTGGATCGTCCTCTTAGAAAGGAGGCATGTCCTGACAGCGTCGGGGGTGTTGAGGCGTTCGAGGATGTTGAGCAGGACATCATCAGGAAGCTTGGTGAACCTATCCACTACTAGTAGGTGGTTATTGTGAGCTGCTGATTTCTGCATCAATATAATTTTGCGAAACAGGATTAAGCAAATATAACAAGTAAATAGGTAAATGCAAAATGAAGGAAGCGAAAGATGAAGAAAAAGGCTTACATTGCGGTTGCGGCGACTACCCTTCTTATTCTTCATGATGCTGATGATGGTGGGTGGTTAATTCCAACGAGGTACGGTGTGAGTATCTAGCTTGGCTGATGGATTGGACTTCCTTGTTGGTTTATTATTGCTATATGAAGGCCAACGGCGGCTCTTCCTGTCCTGTATATACAAGGATGAGGAGGCGTGGGCGAGGTCTGGCCGACGGGCAACTACTACTCCATCTCCGTATCCTAAAGAGAAAATCCATAAAATGCCATCGACAAGCACCCTAATCCTAGAAATGCCATCGACAAAGACAACTTCCCAAAAATGCCATTGCACAAGCCTCTTTCTCCCAAAAATGCCATCACCGTCAACTCCACACCGTTACAACCGTTATTTTTTTAATAATGACTATTTTGCCCTCAGTGCAAAATATACCTAGTTTTTACTGTCAAAGAAAAAAAATGAAATTTCTAACCCTAACCCTACCACTACCGATCCTGATCTAGCGCTCTCCCCGGCGGCGTCTCGGCGACAGCGGCTCGGCGGCGATCCCCTACTGCGGCGGCGCGGCGAGGAGGACGATGGCGGCGACGCGACAGGACGCAGCGAGGAGGACCAGCGCGGCGGCGGTGCGGCAAGGGCACGGCGAGGAGGACTGCAGCAAGGACGCGACAGGACGCAGCGAGGACCAGGACGGCGGCGGCGCGGCAGGACGCGGCGAGGAGGTCTACGGCGGCGGCGGTCCCCGACGGTGGCTCGATGGCTGTCCTCGACGGTGGCTATGGCTCGGCGGCGGTCCCTTGCTGCGGCGGCGCAGCGAGGAAGACCATGGCGGCGACGCGATAGGACGCGGCGAGGAGGACTAGGGCGGCGATGGCGTGGCAGGATGCAGCGAGGAGGACCACGGCGGTGACGAGGCAGGACGCGGCGAGGAGGTCCACGGCGGTGGTGGCGCGGCAGGGCGAGGTGAGGAGGTCCACGGCGGCGGTGGCACGGCAGGGTGCGGCGAGGATGTCCACGGCGGCGCGGCTATTGCAGGATGTGGCGCGGGGGCCGTAGACGCCGGCGAGGAGAGGTCCGTAGGCGCCGGCGAGGAGGGGGAGGAGAGGCCTGCAGCCGCAGTTGCTGAGGTCCGTGGAGGAGGAAGCTATAGTCCTAGCTGGTGTTGCAACTCTGATGTTGAAATTTTCCCTTTTGTTTGATTTGATTTGAAGACTTTGTTTGATTTGATTTCAGTGAATTTAATTATGAAATAACTTGATTGATAGCAAAATAATGATGTTTGTGAATTTATAAACTAACAGAAATATAATTTATTGTGAGCAAGCAATGCAAAATGATGATGTGTGAGTAAATGGTTGTCTAGGGGTAAGATTGTCTTTTCATGCAACTTAACGGAAAGATGCTAACGGCAGTTTGACGGTGATGGCATTTTTGGGAGAAAGTGGCTTGTGCAATGGCATTTTTGGGAAGTTGACTTTGTCGATGGCATTTCTGGGATTAGAGTGTTTGTCAATGGCATTTCATGGATTTTCTCTATCCTAAACGGAGGAGGAGGGAAAGGAGGACTCTGAATTGGAGTCCGTCTCGTCCTAGTCTGGAATTGGATTGGAGGAGGCACAAGGGCAAGTGACGCATGGAGAGAGATTAGGGTTAACCTTGCAGAGATTTTGCTCCGGCTCCGGCCCTAAGGTGGCTGGGCGGCGGATCAGGGGAGACGCTGGCGGCCAACTCCGGGGTCCCCAGCCCGGAGTAACTTAGTGGGCCTATCCACTGGTAGGGAACCAGTGGATGCTGCTGATTTCTGCATCGATTGCAAATTGCGGGAAACTAAATATATTAGTGGCAGGCAGCGAACCAATGTAGTACTAGTAATATGCTCGTGCTAACGCTACGATAATATTTAGTAATACAAATAAAATAATCAAAATACCACATATGATATATCTTTTGTATCTCAAATATTAAATGAGATACATTTATGATTTAAAAGGTAGAGGTCCCCACCAACGTCGCACCAAGCTGACACGCACAAAACTAACAAGATTATACCCAAACGGCACGACGTCACAAAGATTACACCCAAACGGCACGATGTTACAAGTTGGGTCTCCACCCACATTAGTTGCACCAAACCAAATACTACACATACAAACCTGGAACGGTCATACGTGTCGTATGTCCGAACAAGAAAAAAACATATCTGAACAAGTGGGTCATGAACCGTGCACGAACATTAGATTACCATGTGGCGCTTTTGGCAGCACACCATTTTTAAGCAATCCTATATGATTATTCAAAACAATTACAGTGATTCAGCCCATAACTTATACAGTTTGATGATAGTATGTGGATACGGGTCATTTCATAGGAATGTCACAAATAACAATGTTGTGTTACATATAATGCGAAATCTGTCAAATTTCACCAAAGATTTTCACAAGGCTATTTGAGTCAAGCATCTTTCTAATGTTCTTTTCTTGTCTTCCGGCCACTTTTGTTTACAACACCTCTACTCGGTGCAGGACTCCATTCTTTTTTACTACATCTGTCAAAGTTAAGGAAGTTAAGGGGAAAAAAAAGATGGTTACCTTGTAACAGCCACTGTTACCTCGATAGTGCCATGCTGCTCTGGCAAATCGCCATGGCCTCCATACAGCTGCTCACAAAGATTAGAGACCATAATTTGGCCAAGCTGAAAATAATAAAAATATGAAGTATTAAAATAATAAAAAAAATCAAGCACTCGGTGCAGCAACTACTGAACATTATTGAAAGAACCAGCGAGAAATTCTTTTTGGCTCAATTAACCGAAAAAAATATTTGATTTCCCCTGTTCCACGTGTAGTGATATTAATTTGTAGTTCAGCAGCTTCAGCATTAGAAAGCTAAATTCAATTCTTCTGGCAACCATATGTTTAATAGAAAACAGTGTACTTGTTTGATATCCAATGCCAAAACCATTGATAAATAAAAGGAAAACAGTGTACTTGTTTGATATCCAATGCCAGAACCATTGATAAATAAAAGAAACCTGAAGCGAGCTAAATTAAAATACTGTCTGGCAAAGGATGAAAACAGACAGATTACCTAGAAATTTATTGAACAATTTTAAATACTATGTAACATAAGCAAAATAGTAATAATCACTCATCAACAGGTTTAGCCAAAAAAAAAAGATTAGCTGTGCTCTTCTGTTCCAATTTTTTTTTTCTAGATTTCCTGCAAATTTTAGAAAGGAATACAGCCAATGATCTGTTAGTGCAATAAAATTTGTTCAGTGTAATTCCTGATGACCTGGTAAACAAACAGATGGTCGGCGACGAAGTCCACCGGCGGCGGAGGCAGCGGCCCATCGCCATGGGGACGGCAGCAGCTTTACTTCCTTCTTCATTCACCTCAATCACCGCCTTGTGGATGACTTGGCTCACAAACAACGGCAAGCCGGAGCCGTCGTCTTCCACCATCACGGATAGGTTGGTGAGCTACGGTGAGAACGGCAGCCGGAGCCCCAGCTGCCCGAGGACGCCGACGACGCTGTCGGCGAAGGACACCTTGAACTTGGGCACCATGAACTCGCCAACCCGCACCGATTCGGACGAGGTGCTCGTGCAGGAACCCGGCCGCTATGCCATCTTTTCCACGATGCCACGCAGCCCGTCGCGTGCGTCGGGGAGGAAGATGACCATGGCGTACTGCGTGAGGTCGTCGGCCGCCGCGGCCGCGCTTGCGCTTGTTACGGAGATTCGGCGCGCTGTAGTGGAGCTTGAGCACCTTGAACCCGTCATGCACGGCGACGTACTGTTTGGACTTTGGAGTTGCTCGACGACATGTACGCCGGCGTCGAGGCGGTAGAACGGCTTCTTCTTGGTGTTCTTCACCAATCACCATGAAGGGATGCTCCCAGCTGCCCTTTAGGTAGATGGCGTTGCTGAGCACGATGGCCATCGTCGGGCCGACGGATCCCGGCGGCAGGACGGAGTCGATGAGGCCCCTCCTCACCTGTCGCGTCCACTCGTTGATCTGCTTCCTCGCTTAATTTCCCGGCCTTCAAGAAACCCCAACCAAATCAAGAACAGTGTACAAAAATTTAAAATTATGATTTGCATCGCCCTGAATTGGCATCTGGATATGATTCATTGATTCATCGTGCAGATTAGTAATGGTAGATACTAACCTTGTTCTTGAAATCGACGGTGGTGGCCTCGGCCTTGTACCTGCCGACGACGGCGTCGCACCACACGCCGGACGTGAACGCGACGCGCGGCCCACCCGACGCCGACCTGTCGGCCAGCGCGGTGGTCGCCATGTAGAACGGCGAGGAGCTCATCCAGAGTGCAGCAATGGGCGAGGGGAGGCGGAGCGATCTAGGCACCGCGGTTTGCCGGAAGGAGAGCGCGTGGCGGCGTGGGGGGCGTGATTTTCGGCTCAGGAGCGATGGTTTCTGCGAGTGGGGGATGCGAGAGGAGGTTGAGGCGTACGTGGGACGATTTGAGGCGTTGGATTGGATGATTCTGGACCGTTGGATTTGATGAATGAGTAATGTAGGTGTAAGAGTGTGTTGGTGAATTATAGGGTAGATAACGAACGAACAAAACACAAAACTAAATTGATGTTTTTACAGCTAGCAATGACAATAAATAATGATACTATATATATATCACAGTATAAGATTGGCGGCGGCGGCTTACATTGCGATTACGGCGGCTACCCTTCTTGTTCTTCATGGATGATACACCCTTGTTCTTGTTGCGTATTCAATCCGATGGATCGGTGTGAGTATTAAGACTCTCCTCCTCTTCCTCTCGATCAGTCGGCCCGGATCCTATGCGAACTCGTACATGGATCGATCGAGACAGAAGTCACCTCCCTTACCTTCCCTTTTTCGAGATCAAATCTGATGCCAATGAAACAGCACACAGCTATACCTCTGTTTTTTTTTCTTTTATTCCCCTCGAGTACTACGGGTTCTGTTTTGAACGTTTGGAAATTGGAACTGATGAAGTAGGGTACGGTAGGGTGTATGGATAAAGTAAGGAAAGACAGGCCGGCCCTAAACTTTGGGAGGCCCATTGGAAGCGGCGGCCCAGATGAGAGCAGATCCCCTGTCACGCCGACGCCGCCGCCGCCACCGCTGTTGCCCTAACGCCGATCTAATGCTGGAGCTCCATTCGCTTGTTCTTATACTATACAAGTACCTATGCCGGTGATGTATAGCTGCTGCTGCTGGTGCTTGGATTCGGTTGAATTTCATAGGTATGGTCGGTCAGCTGGAATAGCAGTCGGTGTGGGTATATATGTAGCCTAGTTCGCATCGGGCGGAAGCTGGGAAGGGAAGATCTAGTTCGCATCGGAGCCGGAATCGAATCCTCCCTTCTTTTCCTCTTCTCCTCTCCATCATCAGTATATAAACAATACGCGCAGCGCTTGTCCGGTCAGGCCCGCCGCCGTTCAGAAGCTTAACATTGGAATTGGATTTTATTAACCACCATGAAGAACAAGAAGGGTAGTCGCCGCAACCGCAATGTAAGTCTCTTTTCTTTCCCTTCCTTAATTAATTAATTAATTTGCATTATTATTATTGCATAATAATAATATCTGCCTTTCCTGTCGATCCATGAATTAATTTCGATGCAGAAATCAGCTCCCGTAACCGTAATGGTGGTGGATAGGTTCACCACGCTACCTGACGATGTTCTGCTCAACATCCTGGACCGCCTCAACACGCCCGACGCCGTCAGGACCTGCCTCCTCTCTAAGAGGACGCTCCACCTCCCACGCATGCTTTCGCACTTTCGAATTGCCCTACTTTCATTCGCGCCAGATCCTGATTATATCACTTTTAAGGACACTATTGGGATGAACGCCGCCGTGGCCGCTGCAACAGATAATGTTCTCAATTTCAGAGCCAAAGACATCCCTCTTCGCCAACTCAGCATATGTTTCTACTTGAAATACTACGACTGTCTTACCATCGGCAAAGCTGTTGCCCGAGCCATGACAACCCACAAGCTTGACAGCGCTGAGTTCAGAATTCTGACCGATTATAAGCTACATTATTACACTCTTGATGGTCTCCGCAACAATGGGAAACAGCTCATGACCTTTTTTGGTGCTTGTACTGATGCATTTGCTGGACTTACAAGACTCTACCTACAGAACTTAAGGCTTCCTGAAACTGACATTCTCAATATCATTGCCACATGCAAACGGTTAGAGTCTCTGCGTATGTTCATGTGTCAAACAGAGGGTACTGTGTTGCAGCTGCAGCTAGAACACCAGCGGCTTGTTGAGCTTGATATCTGCCACGGATGTTTAAAACTAGTTAAGCTCAATTCTCTACCAAAACTTGAACGGCTGGTCTTTTATAGTTGGAAACATCCCCAAGAACCCTTGTATTTTGGCAATGTTCCGCAGCTGTCAAGCCTAAGCCTCACTAATGTAGGTCTGAGACGGCACAACCTTATCAGATTAAGTCAGTTTCTTTCTAATGTAACCTCCATAAGAGACCTGCACCTCAACTTTGAAAGCGAAAGGGTAATTAAATTCAAGCAAGCCTCTCTCTCTCTCTCTCTCAGGTTATTAACACCTCATACTCATCTTAACCTGCATCCTTCCTTTATGACTTGTTTGTATTACAGATTTGGGTTCAGCCAGAGCGCCCGAAACTGCTGGTGCCTGTTCTCCAGAATCTTCAAGTTTTGAATCTGGAGGATCTCCCTGAAGGATGTGATATCACATGGACACGCTTCTTTCTTGAAGCTGCACCCTTCCTGAAGGAGCTATGCATCACAGTTTGGGACCATTGGTGTAATATTGTGACAGACCAGGTGGAACGGGAAGAAGAGGGTTACTGTGACAAAACAAACGTGCAGTGGGAGTCATCTTCATCTAATGGTTTCAGGCATTACAATCTGGTTAAGCTCACCATCTATGGTTTCCAACCAGATGACAACTTTTTGGGATACATCAGGCACATCATGGAAACCGCGGTTAACCTAGAGGAGATATCCCTGTACAACAGGAAGGTGGAAGATTGCTGTGAAGAGTTGGATCCCAAGATCAAAATTGCTCCGTCAAGGTATCCACAGACCATTGAGGAGCAGGAGTTGCTGAGGAAGCAAATTACAGAGGGATTGGTGATGGCGTTGCCTCATGTAATTCACTTCCGGTCTTAATTCCTCGGCGCAAAAATGCAATTAGCTGAGTAGCAATAATGTATGCTGAATGTTCTGAATATTTTGGTTTCTTCTTCTTTCCTTTTGTGATGAAACACTCTAGTTTCAAACGTTTCAAGGCATGCATTAGAATTCTCTTGTTTCCTGCAACTTGGTTTCAGGCCAGCAGCCTGGATATATAATGTAAGCAGTATATTTTGAATGTTTTGAATATCCTGGTTTCTTTTTTTTGTTGTTGCAATAATTCCCCTTATCCTTTTCCCTACAACTACAAGAGAGCTTGCCATCCAGCTCACAGGTGAGGCATTGTTTTGTTGAAGTACCATCAAGGAATTGGTGTTCAATCTCTTATTAGTGGCACTAGATACGTTTGGAGAATCCATGCCCTGGTACAGGCAATGGAGTTTATCTTCCGGCATTCCTTTGCGAACAAAGGAGGCATATTTCTGTTTCTTCAGTCTCAAGATGCTACTCATTGATGCCTCTGTTCCAGGCGCATCATTCCTAGAGATCTTGCCAGTGGTCAGATTTCTCCCTCCCTGTTTAATTAAGAGAAGTTCTACTCAGTGGCTGCAGGGAGATTTGGCAGGAAATGGAGACCAGACTCCTCAGTTGAGGACTACAATGGTACATCGAAAACAAAGGATTTGAGAACAGGCAGAGGAGATACAGAACAGGGAGGTTTTGGGTGCTGTGAGGATCAGAGGAGGCGTCACAAGTCGAGGGGCGAATCTTTGTTTACCAATAAAAGGTTATGCTTTCATTTATCTTCCATTGTTATCTATTTCCTTGTAGGTAGAGATGCGAATGCGAGTTCCAAGGAGTGCTGTCCCAAATACCTGTGACTTCAATTATACAGTTTTAGAAGTTATGTTTTTATCTAACTTCAATTGTGCTTGCAGTTTTAGAAGATAATGCTTCACAATAAGAAGATAGTTGACACACTAGAGGGTAACATTTTATAGCCCCCCCCCCCTAACATTGAAGTGGGTGTTTCACTTAATATCTTGCCCTGTATGTTTGAAAAGGGAGGTGGATGATAGCCATGTTTGATAATTGATTGAGCGCATTCTAACGAAAATATACATGAATAGATAAAAATACCCACTGCCGTAGATTGATGCTTAGACACTTTGTTAATTTGAAATTGCCATAGAGAGCTTATATTGATCGAGTTAAACAGCATGCAGCTACAATTTTTGTCCCAACTTTTTCTGCTTTATGAACTCCTAAGTTGAAGAAAGTTGGTTTCCATGGTAAACTTAGTGGATAACCGAGACTTGAACTTATTCATTACCTTACATTGTGATTGACACTTGAGCTGTTCAATATATTTTGCTTATTCCATTTTATACTATGTATCTCTGGGAGAACTATTCGGCTAATTTAGTTTTATTTTCCTTTTTAGCTGTTATGGCAAATGCAATTCTCATCAATATCTTTATATTTTATTGATGGTTGACGACAGACTTTGTTCAAACACATTGTTGAAACCCTATTTAACTATTCGCTCTCTCTTGGTAGGGAATCATTGTGATATCATCCAAACAGTTCAAATTTGACCTTTGCATTGCAGCCACATGCAATTAGGAGCTAGCGATCAACATGCAAATACTTAGCTGGCATCACTGTAATGATTATAAGTTCAAATAAATATGAATCACTGCTTTGAGCTTCAATTTGTTGTTCACTGACAGTTTCTTTACACTATCTTCTCTAAATATATCTATTCTGTACTTCTATTACAGCTTGTGATGTCTGCGATAACCTGAAAGTGCTTTGTCAGAGTTGAGCCAGGCTAAGCCATCAATAATGGCTCAGGTATTAAATTAAAAATTTATTACTCAAACTCTCATGGATCTGTTGACATAATCCAAAACTGTTTTGAGAAATAAGAACCCATTCTTCGTAGTTTTCTTGTCTTCATGCAACACTGAAGCTGTGAAGGAGGTGCCAATTGTTCTGAAGCTCCTATATGATCGGGATGCCCTGGATGAAGGGTCAAGGAGTCCCTGGTTATGAAGAATGCCAAGCCAATTCATGGAGTGGCTCCGGAGTGTGGAGTATTTCCAGTTCGTGTCATCGTGTGTGATTGTCCCAAAGTCATAAGTACTAGAGCCTGGGGCGCGCCCGTTGGCGCGCCGCCTGAGTGGAACATTGGTGAAGAGGCAGTGGATGATTAAGCCTGAGTGGAATGATGGTGAAGAGGCAGTGGATGATTAGGGATATAGATGGGAGGAAAGAATAAGCAAGTTTTGGTTAAAAAAAATAAGAAAGCAGGCACTCATAGAGAAGCAAACTGCAGCTAATAAGATATAGACATCTTAATACTTAGTGGTCTCTAGTAGTAATAGGCACATATACAGATGGTCTTTAACATCTGCAAGGTAGTGCAGTATGGATGGTAAGCACTTATGGTCCCAATGACGCATATCCAATTTCATCACTTGTCGCACGGCACAATGGGCTCATCTTAAATTAAATTTGAATATATCAATACACTTCTAATATAAAATTTAAACAATTGACCAGAATGGTGTTAGGATCTCAAGTTTTTATTGTCGAGACCGCTCATGTTCAGAATTCAGGTATGCACTACTAATTTCGTACTAACAAATGAATCAACTCTATGTAATTGTTTTTCAGTACTGTATAAATCAACATTTATGCTCACATTCTTCTGAAAAATGTATACCCACTTCTTCAATATTATGTCCAAACAAAGGGAAAAGAAAAGGACCGGCTTATTCTCAGTCTATCCTGCTGTCAATCCTTCATCAGATGCATGTTATGTTCTCACTTCCTTCCAATCTTGCCCTTGCCCATTGTGATCTACTGATCTGTAAGGCTGTGAGAACCTTTCAAGAGAGCTATTGCCTGCACAACATACATATGAACCAATTTTTCATTAGTTCCTGGGCCCGTGAAAACTGAGTCCATCTGGTCAGAAAGAGGTGCTCCAAATTGCATCATCCCCTTCCTTCATCTTGAGTGCGCATAAGCTTGCTAGCTGGATTACAAACCACTCCACACTGCACCTCTAATTGTTTTCCACCGACCGCATGGTTGCTTGTTTCATAAAGAAAATGTTAGCAGTTGGTTTGGTATTATAGTGATCTTCAGAAATGGTATAGGGTATACAAAGCAACGGAAGAAAACTGATGTGGTGGTGTTCCATTGCGCATATCTGTCATTGATGCTTCAATATTTACACTGCCCAAGTTATAGACCACCTCAATTTCTTAAATGGAGAACAACCCCAAAGCATGTTGCTTGACTGCTATTATTACTGAAGGCATGTATTTTTTAAGGGATATATTTTTTACACGGTGTTCAATAACATACTTTGAACCTATTATTACTTAAGGCATGTATTTTTTAAGGGATATATTTTTTACACGGTGTTCAATAACATACTTTGAACCTATTATTACTGAAGGCATGTATTTTTTAAGGGATATATTTTTTACACGGTGTTCAATAACATACTTTGACCATTAATTTATTCCATGTTATGCTCCCAATGAATATGAAATTAGCATCATATGAAAGGACTTCAAAGTATGAATATCACGAGCTTGCAAATAAGCAGAGTGGTAGCTAAAGCGACAACCCACAAAAAAGATCAATGTTGCAGTGCTGATCAATTTATTTTCACTCCTTGCTGCGAATCATCTAAAAACCTGGACTACTGTCATATTACCTGAAGATGAATTATTGCGAGCTGAACATGGAAAATTCTGGTATGCAATCCAAAGGTGTCAAACCTGACATGAAAAAGGAAAATGATCAGATCACCAAAGAGGCTCATCATACCATACCATCCTCAATCTTAAGTCAACCAAACTCATATTATTTGCAATTGACTGAAACCTCCGCATGAATTCATTATTTTCGTCTCTCTTTTCCTTATGTCTATCAAGAAACCATCAGTGACCCATTGCAGTCCCATTTAAAGTATTTAACATTTAAGAAAACATTCAGTACAGTAAAATGGAAGATTGAGATTTGCATCTTCTGAATATTAGTGCCAAATATAAACCCATCCTGCTACCAGTTGTACTAAAAAAAATTGACTGCCAATAACCAAAATGCTAACTACTAAAAAAATCATCCAGTATGTGAAGCTCCTAAATTTTTCCTTATGCTACTTTGTAAAACTATAGTACAGAGTTTCTGGCAAGAAAATTGGTTCCCAGGTCATCCACTCATGATGGATCAGCAAGCAATATCACTGCAGTCTCATTTTCCAGACAAAAAATATAGTGTTAGGAACTCATGGAGTTGATTTTGTAAGATGCAGATGAGCAACATTCAGCCATCATACAGTAATAAATCGAAAGAAACTAAGATTTACGTTGTTAAAGAAGATAACCTTGGATGAATCCTAATTCAATCATAACAAAGCCAAGAATCATAATCCAGTCTTAATGAAGCCAAGAATCCTAATTCCCAGTGTACCTTGGATATGAGATTGATGTCAATGGAGGTGCGAGCAACAGTCGACATAGTAGTTGACCCTAGTTCCGAGGCACGCACTATATTGCCAAAAATAGAACATAGACAAATTACTTCTTCAAATTGCAGTGAAAATTCATGCATTATTCATTAGAGGGTAAATTACCATTGATTCAGAGATGGCGATCGTTGCCATTTGTTCATTTTAGTCTATGAATCATTGTGTTCATTTTAAACTACAAGAACCGCATGTGGAGGGAGTGAAGGGGCTTGTGCTTCAGAATAATTTTGATGTGTTTCGTGTTGAATTGAATCTTATTTAACCCTAGCAGTGGTGGATTGAGCTTGGACTTTTGGGGGCTACGAACAAACAAAACAAGAGAAGAGCTTCATCCAGATGTAGAAGAGAAGGTAGGCTTAATGCAAGCAAATTTGAGACAAAAGTAGGTGTGAGAGAGAGAGATGAATCACAGAATCAGAAAGAGGATGTGGATGCTCACCGGGATGCAGCAGGACCACGGCGCCCCTCCCCTCCCCTGCTGTGCTCTGCTTACCGCTGACATTGCCACCAGCTTCGGCTTCTTTTTCGGCCTTGGCTCCAGCTGCGGCCACTCTCACGTCGTCCTCCTGTGGATGGACTCCAACCTCGCCCCGTTGATCGTTGCGAGATGTTTCCTTAACAATAGATTATATGTGCTTTCTGCCTTATGGAGCAGAAATTATAAGCCAGCAGACAGCAAGCAAATATACCATGTCAAGTAAATAAATGGAT